ATCATAACTCGAACACAGAAATATTATCAGAATGAGCTCTTCTCAAATTTTTAATATGTCATTCAAGTCTCTTTGTCGTCCAAAAATTAGAGCTATTCAACTTATATGTTGAGAAATGCTTCTTCATAAATAGCTTCCATCAAACTAACATTGGACTTGGTAAAATCTAAGATTCAACTGAAAATTTCAGGCGGATCTCAGATTGGACGTGTTGTAGCTGATAGATCCGACATTGGCCTGAATTTATAAGCGTTCAATGTGGGATTCCCGATGAGACGTAATCCAACATTTGCCGCTAACACACACACATATATATATATATGTAAGAATAAAAGTAGTTTTCTCATTCTTACTCAGTACTTTATTATCTAAGACCGAACACGTAAATGTACGGTCAAGCTAAGCAGTTTATGTGATACGCGTGTATCCACAAAGAAAACTTAGATCGCCATTAAAAGTATGAATTGCTTCGAAAAACTTACTCTTCAGTATCATAACATAATTTGGCATGATTGCAAAAAGAGCGCAGGTGAGTTTATTGCTAACCTAGTACAGCAACTGCACTTTACTCAGAATTAATTATAAGAAATAAGTCTCATCGTATGCACAGGATATGTTTGTTGTTTATCCGCGTGATGAAGACGTTTCTTCCATGGTAGATCGAATATAAATAAAATGAAGCCAATTGTTTGACAAAAATGTGTTTTGACATTTCGAAGTTTAAGCACGTAGAAGAATTCTTTTGATCCATTTCTATTATATTGAAACACGCAAGAATGATCTCTTATTGTAATGATTAATTCATACGTTGTCGTCTCATTTTATTTGCCGAAAGTACTACACATAGATATAGTAGTATAACTTTATTGACATCTTGAACGTGTCAATCAACGACAACAATATTTCTATTCTTTTTCCTTCGTCCAATTACAGAATCTTACGTAGACTATAGGATAAATCAATGTTGAATTTTATTTTTGTAGTAATAAAAATCTAATTAGAGTTTAATTATAGTATAATTTGAAATTTCAATCAAAACGAGTTCACAATGTCTCGTATTTTTTTGTTAATATGATACAAGATCGTAATTATGAGTGCAACAGAGAGAAAAAAGACTTTCTGATGCAAAAAAAGGATTAAATAGCGAATAAGATTCAAAAATTTTTTTGTCTAAAATGAACAGTATTAGATTTTCTATCGGATTTCTTCGGAATTAGTCCTGATTATTATGTATATCATCGTAAATAGAAGAGAAAAAAACGAAATACACCGTCGGAACAACTAGACAATGATTCTTGAGTAGAATCCACGTAATGCTTATTTTTAGAATAGAAAGAAAGTACTTTGAAACATCGAATTAACAATTGCCAAGAAAAAAGAATTAAATACTTAGTTTATTTGGCAAATAAATCTATAGTAGTATAAATTATCCAAAGAAATAGTATAGTATACTAATGCATATTTATGTTCATTCATATGTAAATAATATAACACAGAAGAACAACAAGAAGAAGAAGCAAAAAGTCAATTAATAATCTCAAGTAAATTGAAAAAAACAATAGAATTACTAGTATTTGAGAATTTCATACATTTATTTTGCTTATCTTCTTAAATAATATTTTAAAGAAACGTTTTTATCCCACTCTTTGCCTGTTAATTAGTATTAATTTGCATTAGAAAAATTAAACGAAAGTCTTTACTTTAATTGTTTATAAGGCAGAGAGAGAGAGAGAGAGAGAGAGATAGAGGAGAGAGGAAATAAAAGTTCTGCGTAATTAACTTCAGTCCAAATCCTTATGAATATCATTAGTATTATGCCAACTACATTATCGGTTGAGTAGGATTAAAAAAGAAAAGAAATTACGCTAGAACAATTTCTTAATTAGAACTAATATCGGGCCACATCATCTTCGTTTATTATTGCTAAGCAGAATAAGAAGAGGAAGTTCTTGCTAAATCTTAATAAAGAGTACACCATAAAATGTTGGCACGCAAAAATCAAGAGATACGAAATAACAAGACCAGCAACAGAGAGAAACTCGGCATTTTTTTCCTTCCTCCTCTTATTCACTAATGCAGTCAAGTTTCCAATGACACATCTTGCATCTCTCCTTTCTTATTTAAAGTACTGTAACAACAAGACAATCGATCTCATGTCTTGTCAATTAAAAAGATTGAGAGAAGAAATACGTTGAGCCTACATGAAAATCTCTTATTCTTTCTTGAATCAAATCGATATTATAGAAGCTGAAAAGAAGAAATGTAAGAACGAGTCATATCAATCCTTGTTGTTCGTAAGTAAACTATTATGATTGTTACTTTTAACAAAAAAAAATAGATTCTTTTAAAAGAATCTCTATTAGAAACAGAATTCGAATTAATTAATCGATCGACGCGATAGAATAGAAAAAGACTTTTGAAATTAAATAATTAGATTTGTATGTTAGAAAATAAATTCTTTATCTATCTTTACGGTAGTTTGACACAATGAATTATAGATATATTCATTCCTAATCGAATATTCAATAAATTTATTTCTCGTGCAGTTTTACTCAGGTGACCCTTTAAAAAAAAAGGAGGGAGAAAAAAAACTTTTGCTGTCAAAAAGTGATGTAAACATTTTTATGTACATTAGAATTAATGGTATGTTAGATAAGAATATAATTTTGACAAGTATCCCAGTGAAAAATATTCGCTGGTTTCAGTCAAATTATTGTGCAACAAGATCCAATCTGCAATCGGATTGATAATTTCGATTTTAATCGACTATCATTTAACCCAAATTTAATGCTATTGCTAGCCCGGTGGAAATTAATTTAATTGAAATCGGATTGTTTTCCAATAAAATCCACATTGTCAATCGATTGATAATTTGAATTGTGCTACAGAGCAATCAGATTTTAATCCAACTAGTTTCCACTGGACTAGCAATAACATCAAGTTTGGGCTAAATGGCGATCGATTATAATCAAAATTATCAATCCGATTGCAGATTGGATCTTGTTGCACAATAATTTGACTGAAGTCAGCGAATATTTTTCACTGGGTAAATACGTATGATTGGCGAGAATTATGTTGGTATGATACCGGCAAAAATCGACGCCCCTGTTGTTTTCTATTGTTCTCAAATTTTTTCTTTGAGCTGTTTTGTTCTATAGAGATCTAGTGTATACTTCAATGTTACTCGTCAATGACAATGATACTAGCAATATCAATATTAGGTTTATTTTAGGATAGGTTTCTATGAAATATGAGATACTCGATGTCACTCTTAAGATAAGTTCTTTTTTTTATAGTTAGGTCAATGTCTACAACAACTATGATTTATTAACGTTGAATTAACATGTTTCTCTTGTACTTTTTTTGGAAGCACTCGTGCTACATAAAATGAGTCAGATTCATACGAACGAAAGCTCTATTGTATTCTCTAGTTGTATAAATCAAACTACCTTTAAGTTTTTATCCGTAGATAACATCATCAATACTAAGATAGAAATATAGTTGACAGTTTGAAATGTTGTTGACGAGCATTTCAAGATGTATTGATTAGTTTGAGTGATTTTATTCGATTGTCAGTAGGAAAATATGTTGATAAGAACAAATAAGCACTTGAAAATCATGAGCATTGCTACTTAATGCGAGAAAATAAAAAGTAAGAACGATTTTTTTCTTGTTTTCTTTGTTCTTCTAACAAAAAGGAGTAAATAGTAGTTGCTGTTTATTCGTCTTATGGCTGAACAAATTTCCTTCGTATTTTTTGTCGCGCTCCCCTGCGTCACATTTAATAATGGCAATCAACGAGAGAATAGCCAATATATACTTTGTTTTAGTGAATTGTAGTATTTTTCTATTCGATATAAGTTCGATTCAGTTGATCTCTTTTGTATTTTATAAAAATAAGGTTTAGTTGTCTATTTTGTTCGAAAGCAATAACACTATTGTATAGCGGTTCAGCTATTATTGCTATTCTCCGGACGATTCTCTCTGACATTCATTGTAATACAGAAGAAAATGGCAGTAACTATCGTTTTGCATAAAGAGATTAAAAGATATCTATTCGATGTGGTTGATTAGTAAATCAATTAGTTGCCATGAAACGAATAGACAGACGATCCTGTTAATACACTATTTTTCGTTAAATTAAAGATAGACTTTTTGATACATTAAATCCATTAGGAATAGTTCAGAGAACTGCTATTTATCGTCATATTCTTATAGAAAAAATTTTTCACTTCAGTTAACATTCTTGATAGATAGGATCGAACTTCCTGTTTTTCTTCTTCTGTTTATATATTATAAACTTGTATCATCAATCTATTTATTTAACGCTCATTGCTGTCATATCTTGCATAAATAAAATTGCGCTATTCTCGTCTTTTGTTGATCTTCTATCAAATAGAATCATGAAATATGAGAAATGAGAAATGAGAAAAACAGAAGAATGTTTGGTTACGAAAAAAAATTAAAATTAATCGACAATGGATATTCTTGCATAAAATGCGTTTTAATAACTCAGCGCAAAAAAAAGCGAAAATGTAGTTTTGCTGAAGACAGCTATGATCTATGTGTCACGCTATTCTTTACCATCTTCAACTATCTATCATGATTAATAGAAGCTCTTTTTTTTCTATTCTCATTTCCTTTTTGTGTCAAATACAGAAAAAAATATCATTGAAAATTGAGTTTCAGTACAGAACATCGCAGGCGACACACAAGAAGAATATTTTAATAAAGTATTAATATTTTTTGTTTATAAGTTTAAAATAAATTTCTTTATCTATTCAATATAGTTTTTTAGTGTATTGAACTCTCATAGGATTATGATAAGTTCCTATTTCTATTTAACACGATTTAATATTAAAGAAAAAGAAGCTTGAAGACGACTTCTGTGTAAAAGTCTTATCATTTATTCTAAAATTAGTAAACTATAATTATTGCCTATATTATATGATAATAATCCTGTTTGTTTTTTTTCTTTTAATCGCTACAACCAATTTTAGATGAATAACACGAACGATAAATTATCATATACACATGTAAATCTAACCCGATGGGTTTCGAGTACGATTGCACCAATAATATTATTGGGTTGTGCTATTGGAAATATAGTGTCATTTTTTGTTCTATTACGTCCACGTCTTCGTAAAGAAACAACATCAATCTATTTAGCTGTTTTATGCGTTGCTGAAATGGGCACATGTTATACGGGATTGTTGAGACAATTTTTAATTGATGCATTTAGTCTTGATATACGATCAATAAATGGATTTTCATGTCGCATACATATCTATTTTACCTATGTATTTCTTCGTTTAGCACCACTGATACTTGCGTTGGTTACTTTACAACGCTATTTATTTGTCGGTCAATTAGCCTTATGTTCTCTTAAACAAACGATTATACAATTATGTTCATGTACTTTATTTGTTTTTGTAGCTGAATTTCATTTATTTATTTTCTATGATTTTACTCATTCCGATACAAGACCAAGAAATCAATCGCCATTAGAGTGCACAGTCGATACATTACGTCATGGGAAATATTATACATTTCGAAGTAAAATCTATCCGAAATTATCACTTGTTCTATACACAATAATACCATTAGCGATAATTATAATTGGTAATGCATTACTTATACGTAAAGTCCGAGAAGCATCGAAACGGTCACGTTCAAAGACAAATAAAAAACGTTCAATAACGAGGATGTTATATGCTGTCAGTATACTTTACACCGTTCTAACATCGCCGGCAGCAATATTTTTAGCTCTAGCACCGCAAAGTTATCAATTGACACCAAGATTTCGTCTTGAATGGACATTATTACGTTTATTATTTTATTTATGTCATTCAGTTAATTTTCTTCTATTTTGTGCAAGTGGAAGTACATTTCGACAAGAACTTGTTGTTTTTCTTAAAACAATATCTTGCTGTTGTCAACTGAATTGTACTGATAGAAAAGTAAAGCATAATGAAGTGAAATTAAATAATAGAGTTCGATTTATACCCGATACTACGCGAAATAATGCGGAACAAAATCAAAAACTCAGTACAAGTAAACTGGCTGATAATTCATCTGGCGTATTATAGCGAATCTAAAAATATATATATGTATTTATTTATTTATTTATTTATTTTAAATATTCATTTTATGTTGTCAAACATTGAAGACAAAGCAATCTACACGATTAGTACTATGTATGAGTATTTTTTGTTCTTGAATACTGATGCTTCGCATAGTGCTGTTTTCTTCTTTACATGTTTCAAGCTTGTTTTATTTCATTTTTGACAATCACCTATAGATTATTCAGTCTTGATGTCAAAGTGACAAGTGTTTTTTCATAATGTCACTGATTATCCATACCATGTTTATTTTTGATTTTATATCTGTGCTTTGTTTTCATTGCTTTCTTCATAAGTTACTTGTAATCCGCACTATATCCCTTTAGGATTTATCATGGATGGAGGGTTAGATAAAGTACCAATAAGAAAACAGTATGTTAATTTTATGTTTAATAAATTAGTCCAGGATTGAAAGAAGAGACTCTTATTTCAACGTAAAATAAAAGAAAACGAGAACAAACGCCGATTATATGAATTTCAAATTAGTGACAGAGAAAGAAAAGATTTTCATGCCCAGGTTGATCAAAACGGATTCGTTTACGGTCTGTTTGTCGACGGTAAACGATGTCANTCCAAGGGGGGGAAAAGCTGATTCCGTGATTCCATGTGATTCCACACGCTAAATAAAAATGCGTCGGCTGTATGTGCCGTGAATTTTTGTGTTGTGCTCTCTATTACAAAAATGTATCGTAAATTTTTGTATCGCGCTTTTAATTAAAAAAGTGTGTTGTATATTTTTCGCGTTCTGTCAGTCGACTAGGTGTTCACCTTCTTGTTATGAACATACAGCAACATATAAGCAACATCGTTGAATGTATGGAAGATAAGTTCTCGAAATAAAATTTTCTTTGAAATCAATTCTTGATTACTTTATAATCAAGGAATTGCCATCCTGATCCATGATCCGGAAAGGACTACACTAAATAGTCTGATAGGAATCGGATCAATTCCAAATCAGCCAGATCTTAGGATCGGATCAGATTGAATTTAAAAAAAATAAAGAGATATATGTAATTAAATTAAAAAATATCGAAATATGTGTTTCAAGAACAACCAATGAAAATGTGTCGGATGTGTTGTGAAAAATGCGCCGTGGTCTTGCTGGGCAGAATGCGTCGCAACGAGCACCTCATGTCGTACTCGAATGTGTCGTGCTTTGTGTCGTAGTTTACGACATATCCGACACATTTTTACTTAGAGTGCATTGATTCTGTGTGATTCCATCGGCTCTGTAATCAGTATGAATATCACTTTATTTCTCGACTATAATGTCGTAACATCAATAGGGAAATCAGTTCACTCATGATCGTAAGAATCGTTGAGTCGAGCACAAGAGGTATAATCTGTGTATTGCTGAATCTCAGCCGAAAGCATATCAGTTCTCATTTCACAACCATAAAATAACATATTGGGACGATATCTAACCCATGGCATAAATAATTCAAGGAAACGGCCCTTGAAACGCATTCCATCTGTACTCAGAAACGTTTCAAAACGTTTTTTGTAGGATGTAATGCATTTCACTTCGTTTCTCTTTTGAAGTAACTCATTTTCGAGCGTTACATTTTCGGAACGACGCAAAACGCACCGATTTTCTGAAGGCGTTCTCCAGCATTCACGAAAAAACGTTGCGAAACGTAACTAATTCTAGCGTTTTTCGAAACCGCATGCATAACAAATATTGTAAGAGCATTTCGTGGCATTTTTTTTGACTAATAATAGCGTTTAGCTTAGAAAAAAGATGCGTTTTCAACTGTTCATTTCTCAGTCAGACAAAAAACAAAAAATAACGCGCCCAAACGCGTCGAAATTTTAACGACAAAAAATTCCGAAAAACTGCACATTTCTTGAATTTTCTTTCGTTAAAGTTTATCCGTACGTTTTATTTCGTTCAAAATCTTAACGCGCTATTTTATTTTATTTTTGTCTGATTGGGTACCACCCAGACCGATTTTTGCGCTTATCAGTTCTACTTGACACTGTTCCCCCTCAGAAAAACAACATTGAATCTGAAGAACAAGTGTTGTCATGGCTTACAACTGTGGATATTCTTCTAAAGAGCGATTTCGAGCCGATTCATTATGAAGCTCCACATAAAATTTTCCATTGTCAAATAAATTACTATTTGACAGACTAAACTTTATACCGATCGTCATTCGAATCAGCTCAAATTCTCTCTTCTTTAGAAGAACGCCCACAGTTGTAAGCTATGACGCCATCAGTGTCTCAAATGCGTTGTTTTTATGTGAAGGAAGGCGCTGTCAAGTAAAACTGATGTTTCAAATCCGCCTTTAAAGCTGCTTTGCATATTTAGTTGTCATGAATTTAAATAGAAAAAGAAATAATTATTTATGAAATTTTCATACTTGCATGGCTTTGATTTTGACATCGAACTAAATAAAGAAAACAAATATTATATATTTATATAAATAAGGGATGCTTAATTTTGAGACGTTAGTTACGATGAATCTAAAAAGAAAAAAAAATAGCTACGTGAAAAATATTCATACTTGCTCTATTTTGAATTTAATATTGAACTAATTAAATAAAGAAAAAAAAATATTCATATAGATAGGGATACTTATTTTGAATACGCCGTTGTCATGAATCTAAACAGAAAAAAGAGAAATAATTATTTTAGAAATTTTAATACTTACATAAGTTTTAGTTTAGCATTGAACTAAATATAGAAATCAAACATATAAATATAAGTCAATGATACTTACTTTTAACACGTTGTTGCGATGAACAGAAAGAGAGAAAAGAAAACAAATAACTATTTATAAAAATTTGCCTATTTACATTTTGTGGAGTTGGATATTGAACTAAATAAAGAGAAAATATATATAGATAATTGAATGAGTGGGAATATATACTTACTTTGAATACATCCCAGGTCGACTGATCCGACATTGGATCCGATAAAATCCTATTGGATTCCAGTCGGATCGGATGGGTTCCGATAGGTACCTACTGTTGGATTGCTCGACCTGGGATTGTATGAAGGAACCTAAATAGAAAAAAGGAAATGACTATAGAGAAAATTTGAATACTTACGTTTTTATTTTGAATTTCATATCGAACTAAATATAAAAAACGATGAAAATCTAAGTAAATGATAGTTACTTTCCCTATAAGCTGTTGAGATAGATATAAATTTAAAAACGAGACGTGCGTAGATATTTTGGAAAGTATATTACTTACATTACTTTGACTTTAATATTCAAGCATATATAAGAAGAATATATTAAGTAAAATGCTTACTTTTCATTTGTTCGCGAGGTCGGATGTAAAAACAACACCTTTTCTGAATAGCTCTACGAGTTTGGAATAAATCTACAATTAACACAATGCTTGTGAGAGTGATGTAACTAAAAGCATTATTATGAAATTGCCTGTATGAGCCCGTTTGATTTTGATTTTCTAAACTGCGTGGATCGAAGTTTAGCTCGAAGCACTTCTACAGTTATTGGGAAAACTATAGCGCCTCCTATAGCGAGATATTGTGTTTGAAGAAATAGATACGAAGCGAAAAGTGCATCGATGTATCAATAGCTGCATTGTGAGAAAAGTACTCGATGAAAATGTTTATTATTTCTAATCATAGTGGAAATTTGTTTCAGTCGGTTGCAATGCGTTGTACAAGATTCTTATTTTATATCAGCCGAAAAAAGTATTGAATGAACTAAAAACAAAAGAATTTTTTCTAAGATGGCAAACAGTGGCTGCTCTCTTTGATGGGGTTTTCTCTACATAAAGATTTTATTCCCAGGTCGAGCAACCCGACAGTAGGCACCTATCGGAACCCATCCGATCCGACTGGAATCCAATAGGATTTTATCGGATCCTGTCAGATCTTACAGAATTATCGTTGGATTTCGGGTCGAGGAATCGATGTCGGATTCCTATGAATTCTAAGGAAAAATCGTTGTATGTCATCGGCAGTTCATAGGATTTCGACACTGAGGATCCGATATCGATTCCTCGACCCAGAATCCAATAGAATTGTATCGGATTGTACCCAGGTCGACCAAAACGGACCACCGAAAACCGGCGTAACATTAACGTAAACGGTCGTTTTTGCATCGTATTGCGTGGTAAAACGACCGTTTTAAGCCGAATTAAGGCGTTTTAACAGGGGCAGTATTACGGCCATACACGAACACCGTATATCAATCGTAAAACCTCGTAAAGCCGGCGTAATATTATCGTATTCTATAGAACATACGGCCGTATTACTGACCCTGTTATACGGGGAAAATACGGCACGTAAAACGGGCCGTATTTGTATCGTGTACGACCGTTTACTGATCGTTTTCTTCGACCGGGGTAGGATGTTTCCCGGTTCCTATCGGATCCAATGTTGAATCAGTCGACCTGGGTTTGTCAATGTTGTAAATTTAAAAAAAATTCATTTTAAGGAACTGAGAGGCAAGGACCGAACTGATCACTTCAAGGGCAAGTTTACGAATTATTTTAATTAATTATTAATGAACGAATCCTGAGAAAAATAACTTTTAGGACGTTGAAAAAGTTAAGAAACGTAAGCGTAAAAATACGCAAAATTCGAGTTTTTAACGGATAAAAGCGTATAAATCGAAAAATAAATCTACATATTTGAATGTTGAAATATTATAACGCGTTAAAATGCGTTCGAAAATCGAAAAAACGGCGTTTTCACGCATTCTCAACACGTTTTAACGCATTTTCTTTAGAGACTTGTCTGACTGGGTTGTAACGAGTCTAGAAAATAAAGCAAGAGTATTTAAATTGAATGGGACCTTTTCTCTGAATTCGTAATTTCTAGAACGTTGATATCGAAAAACGAACTTATCGCAGGACTTAAAGGAGTTATATATATCATAGAAGATCACAGTATAGACAACAGATTTGTTGAACATCACAATCATCAAAGCCAATTTTCATTTTTCGTAAAATTTTAGCTCAATATATTTAAGTACTCGAGTCGAAAATACAAAAATGATGAGAAGCATTGGTTTTATTGATGAACTTTCAACTGAAGGTAGAAAATGAAACAAGTAAAAAGAACTGGATGCTTCTGGATAATGAACCAAGTTTTCAATTATATCTTCGGGCTTAATAAACAAACCATTTTCATCATTGTTATAGCTGTCGATACTAATGTTTCGCCATTGAAATTTTCGTACGTACAGGCTAAATTTTCTTTAATTATAACATTTTTTATTTTGAAAAATATTTTCTGGTTGACACATAATGCAATGTGTTCAATAAATCCGACGTGAGATAATTGTTCAAACGATAAAGAACGAAAGTGTTATCGTTCTTTTTGCCAAAATCTCTTGTTGCGAGCCACTTTGTACCAATAACAATAAAAACAATATGATAAAGTTAGATTTTGTCATATTGGAACATTTCTTGTATATCCTCGTACAGAGAGTCTTCGATTGTATGCTTTATTTGTAATTTGATAGAATGATGTCGGGTGCAAATTGGAAGTTGCTCGATTCGATTTATTTTGTGTAAAACGTTTTGTGCAAAAATCAGTTGATGATTTCGGCACTGTGGCGATACAATACGTGTTTGTTTTTTCTGATAATGAAGATCATTGTCAGTTATCATTTTACTTTTTTTCCAGAATAAAAAATATAATAAAAGTGCCATGTAATTAGGTATATTTACCAGTGCCCTTTTCTTTCCGGTTAAGATTTTCTTTGTTGTTTTTTTGTCATATATGTCAAACTTGGACCTTGAATTCAATTGAAAATTTCAATTTTCAATTTTCAACTTTTAAACCAAAAGCATTCTGAATAATCGTGACTCATACATATATCGCTATGAGTTGAAAGTTGAAGGTTGAAATTTTCTGTTTTCAACTGAATTCAAGTTTCAAGTTTGACACTACTGTGAAACATCATCATCGTACCTCAATCGTCAATCAGTAGATGAGGTCTCGAGCAAAAAACAAATGTATTCAACTCTTTGACTACCTGTCCACGCAAGAAAGAGCAGAATAATGATTATCGTATGCGACGAGCTAATTATTTTGATTATATCGACGGCTACACGTCAGAGAAAAGAAAAGAGCGCCCTTCTATGTCGCATTCAATCAAATGTACTTTAAATTCAGCTGCTCTTCTGTATTACATTGCCTACTCTCAACAACAGCAACAACAGAAAAGCAAAGTTGAGTAGAAAACACTAACTGATAAATTTTTCTTTTTCTAGCAAAAGAATTTTTTTTTAAATTTAATTTCTTTGATATTCCTTATTTTCCTATATACGAGTGTTTTTGAAAGTAAGAGTATACTGTTACAAAAAGAAACATCGGGAAAGAACAAATTTAGTCGCACATTCACATAATTACTTAAAAAACATTTTTTATTCTTCCATCGTGTGTTTTAATACGTCGGAGGCATTTTTTTGAGCGACCGAGAAAACATTGCAAACATTCGTATTGAAAATGTCTTCATCAACTTTCAATGAGCTCAATAGTGCGTTGACAACTGGAACTATTGTTGCCGCTGTAATCGGTTCGATTTCAGTCACTGCGCTCATCATCGGAACTATTATAGTTATTGTCTGTATTATCAAACATTTCAATCGTCGACGCGGTATAGCAACGCAAGGAAGAGTTATCCAACCACCACAACCATATGCATATCCACATTCTTGGTCACAACAGTATCCACCGAATATAACTAGTGTAGAAAATTATCCATCTCAGCAAGGACTACATTTTTCGCCCTATTCAGGATCCACAACAACTTATTAATTAACAGTAAATACTTTATTTTTGTTGATGAATAATACTATTAAAAACAAAACTCATAATTAGGGATGTGTGGTTTCAGTGACAACACCGAAAAAATCGTCACTTTTATCACCCACAGTGACGCTCAGTGCACGCTGATAGACTCAGTGCGACTGATCACTGAAATATTGATCACACTGACACTGATGATCACTGTATCACCGATCACTGATACGCTGATACCATCGGCGTCACTGGTACGTCAGAGACACTGACTTCGCTGACATCTCGTAATTAATTCTTACATAATATTGCAAGACCTGTGCTCTGATTAAAAAAGAATGATTATAAACTAGAATCATTTATTTTTCAAGAAATTTAATGGGTAGAGTTTTAAAAACGTGAAAAAGATGAATACTTTTTCGTCGATGAATTAGGGTGTGTGTGCGTGAGCGTGGGGTGTTGGTCTCTGGCTTAGGGTAAACACAGTCACAGCCACACGCTCTAATGTGTTTTATTCTATTCTATCCTAGTTTTTTGCTTTATTTATCTTGGTATTGAAAGACATATTTGCTTTTATCTTCACAGAAATTATCTTTCTGGAATATTCATTTATTTAAATGCTTTTTGTTCTCGAGTATTTTCACTTATAAAATATGTATCTCTCTTCAGCGAAGAAGTATTCATCTTTTTCACGTTTTTAAAACTCTACCCATTAAATTTCTTGAAAAATAAATGATTCTAGTTTATAGTCATTCTTTTTTAATCAGAGCACAGATCTTGCAATATTATGTAAGAATTAATTACGAGATGTCAGCGAAGTCAGTGACCCTGACATACCAATGATGCCGATGGTATCAGCGTATCAGTGATCGGTGATACAGTGGTGATCAGTGTTCCAGTGACCTCAGTGTCAGTGTGATCAATATTTCGGTGACCAGTGTGCACTGAGGATCACTGTAGGTGTCTATCAGTGTTCAGTAAATGCACGCCGCACATCCCTACTCATAATGCTAATGATAATGCACTGTAAACCTGTATTGGTTTATTTTTTTACATCGAGTTTTGGCATCGATATAAATAAGATCCATTCATGTCACGTTTTATTATGGTATTTTGATGCACTAGGTATTGATAGTTGAATGAATAAAGAAAATGATTTAACAAAAAATGTTAAATATGTTCTTTTTTCTGATAGAAACTCACTTAAACTTTGTCAATGGTTTCTACAATAGAAAACAAAAATATCAATATAATATACTCTATTCAAACCAGTGTGGCGAGATCTTCTGAAAAATAGGGAAAATTCTGAATTTTGAACATGTTTCTACTTTTTTTTTCTGATTTTCTGATTTTTTCTCAATTTCGAACATATTGAGATCGCTGCTTTCCCACTGAAATTATGTACGATTATAACCCATTACCATAATAAATCAATAGTGTTTCATCAATTTTCTCTATTAATCACCTTTTATATTCCTCGTTCGAATTCTGGCGTCGAATTGATTTTCGGTCATATAAAGCATTTATAGTCCGATTATCGTAATTCGAGAATATAAAACCAGATAATGCTTAACTTAAAATAAAAGTGACTGATAATAATTCTTGAGAAGGTTTTATTAGCATATGTTATCTTAAACAAACTTCGTAGAGCAAATTCCAAAAGATACGAAATATGAATAACACTACCGAGATGATGGGATTTAACGTTTTTTTTCTCGCTCGACTTCTTGATCTACGCTGAATGTATTCGATTTAGTTTTGCTCGTTTTTGTGAACGAGTTTTAAATTTAAAACGAAGCTCAACATTAAGTATCTTTTATTGATGTCTTCTTATTAGCTAAACGATATATTCACTATATTGTCTTTCGTTTTATTGAAATATCTTTGAAAATAAAGTTCCAGTCAATGAACAGAAACGCAGCAGAACTTTGGATGTCAGTATTTTAGCGGACGATGTAACTTACTAATTTGCCAAAAACTATCATTTTTCTGATTAATTTCTGATTTTTGAGAGATATTTTCTGATTGATTTCTGATTTTGAAAAAATATTTTTCTGATTTTTCAATTTTTGATCTGGCCACCCTGATTCAAACTATCTATAAACTGAACTGCGTAGCTCATTCATCAAAGAAGATTATGCGCCCAATAATTTCTCTTATATTTACCAAGTAATTGAACTGTCAATATTGTTTTCATTAAAAATAGAAATAAGTCGCTCTTTTAAAAAGCATGGATCATGCATAGAGACAGCGGGGAAAAAAGCGGACTATAAAACTAGTCTAAACATCCGGTTCAAAGAAACGTGATGTTATAATGCAAAGCCATGCGGTCACTTCCCTGTTCCGTTCGTAATAGACCAAATATCAAATGTGGACTTGATCGTAATTGTGATAAACATTTTAAAGGTCATAACGTTGTAACGGAATGAGATATGTAGATCAATTAATAATAAAATATTCTTAGATCGAAAAAAATAATGTTAAGACCTACAAATTCAGATTCATTCAAAGGTCAAAACAATGCGACTTATTGTTTTAAGTTAGTTAATCATAACGGAGTCGATATGTTAATTCTACTTGTCAAATTTATATTGAAAAGGAAAAACATATTTATGCCATCAATAAATGGCCAGTCACAAAGAAGCTCTAATAGTATCATTACGTATCGACTAAAACTGTTTTAGAAAAAAAATTCACGTTGCAATCTGAACACTACAAGCATGTCTTGTTGCTCTACGAATAAATTCATCATAAAAATGACGATGAATGCTATTCATTGTACGAAACATTGGAGCAATCAAGATACTAACGAGAAGCAAGTTAAATGGGGAATTTTGAACTTCAATTAAAAACCTCACAAAAGGAAAATATTGAGATCCTAGATTTTGTTTTTATTCACATTGGTTTCGTGTTAAAGTAAATAAAAATTTGATTTCTTTTATCATTTGCATTAATATCGTATTATTATTTAGTAGCTTTTAATCTCGTTCGACAATTTTACATTCGACCGAAATTACTGTTGTTTAGTATCGTAATGCGATAGTTTTTTTAGAACAAAATAAATTATAAATCAAATGACTGAACATATAAGATACAAACAAGCAAAAGAACGAGACGATGTTATTTTTTCTGTTTTTAGCATTGTAAGATAATGAGATAGAAGGAAATAACATCATGTCTAGAAGTATTTATAACGTTCTCATTCTTTTATGACATTGTCACAGACAGATTATTATGAAAGAAAAGAAATTAGCCTTGTTTATGTATTCACGAAGGCTGTTTCAAAAACAAATAGAATTTACTGATAGCACATATCATTTAACACTTATTAAAAGCTCAAAAGGACAAAGATCGAGTCCCAATATTGATTTGATGCGTGCAATATGCAAAAGTGAATGTTTCTGTTAACCGATGTCATAATTAATAACGAAAAGGGAAAGGATAGAAAAACAAAATTCATTTTATTTTCTAATTTATTAAAATCATTGCGGCTTAATCGTAAAACACTGTAGAAATAGTTGTTTGGAAAATTCTATATTATACGGTTTAGTACTGCAATTTTATTGGGAAAATGCTTTCTCGAAGACAATACAATCGATGATCGCTTTCTTTTCATAATTATTTTCAGTATGTATTCTACCAGAGGTGTCTACAGGGCAGGGCACAGGGCGAATTTTTAAAAAATGATCCGCCCTGTACAGGGCAGAGCTATACCTTCACGCCCTGCAAATTTTGCATATACTTACTTTAGTTCGAAAATAACAGCAATTTTATTCTTCTCGGGAAGGTGAAAGAAACTAAAACTATCCAGATAGCGCTATAGAATGGTAAATAGATTGTTATATTTGTGTTTGCATGATAACCGTATAAGGTCTAATCAAGTTTGTAAGAAAACAAAAGAAAATAATAAATTAATTAATCATAATAGTGATAATAGTGCACATATATTTAAAATATAATTGTAGCAGTTGCTGATGTTCTTATTATTTCAATAAAACTAGTAAAAATAAAAGTATGCATCGCTATCATCATCGATAGATTCATGTGCTGATATTTCATCTATCTCCCCTGGTGATGAAAATGAAGTTTCTATTCTCTTTTCGTTAAATATATCTCGCCTTGTCCAAACGTAATGCTGTGATATTTTTACACTTTGTTTTGCAATTATCTCGAAAGGTATAAGAGCTAATAAGGTCGTTCAAACGTCATTTGATGCATCTTATCATAATCTATTAATGTTGAAAGAATGGCCTAGTTGGGCTGAATTCTCGCGCTTCTAGACAGGTTTTATCATCGCGTGACACTGACAAAAAAGGACCCTTTTTTCTAGGTCTGCTTATTAAGCTCTAATTTTTTGCCAAATCGTTTCTTCAAATGAAATGCCTATGGTACCGTTTTTGTAGAGAATTGAATGGGCTTTCAAGCAGTAAAAAATATTTTTTCTAAACTATTTTCGCTCAGATTAAAAATGCAAAAAACCAAATCTAACGCTGTGACACGTTTTTTTGTCGACCGAATTTGAAGCACTTAACATGCTTAAAAATATTCCATGTTTATATGTTGATCACTGCCCTGCATATCCTTCTGTAAAAAAAATCTAGTTGCTACATCCAAAATACGAGCTCAATAATTGTATAGTAAGTTAGAAACTGTACAAGCGCTCAGAAGTTGTCCTGAAGAATGTGAGTAAACAGTTAACAGGGCATTTTGTAAAGAATCAAATTCTGCATTGAATGGTATATTTATTAGAGATCCCTGTAACTTCTTGATGTTAATAACGAATGAGCACCATAACGATGGAACTAACTTTATCATTGAAGAAAGAGGAGTATATATAGGGGGAATATGTGTCAGGGACTGAGTATACTAGCGTCGATGAATCAAGGAATAAACATATGACTGTAACAATATTACTCTGCATTTTCGTTTTAAATTTCTTGGTTACAAAATTGAAAATACAATTTATGAAAACTTTAAAACTTAATTTTCGATGCCAAAACCCAATTTTTTTTAAGAAAAAATGTCCAAATTCACAACCAGTGCAAAAAAACTGTACCAGAAAACACACTGAGATCTGTTTATACCGAAACAAAACATTTTAAAAACTTGATTAGCGAAGTAGTGGGTTATGTGGACAAGCCGATCTACTGATGGATCATCAGTGATGATGCAATATCATCATATACACTTTTTCAATTAGGGCTAATTTATTATTTGCTGATCAGTTATCTATTTGCTGAACTATTTTTCAAATAAAAAAGATTACTTAAACTTGAATTTAAATATGAAAAAAATTCTTCTTAATTAGCAGGCCAGGGCAGGGCCACGGTGCCAAAATGACAGAGCAGGGCAGACACAAATTATTTGAAAATGATTTTGTCCTGCCAGGGCAGGGCGAGTTACGATAAAAAGCAGGGCAGGGCAGGGCAATAAAATTGGCCTTGTGGACACCTCTGTATTTTACATTACTACTCAACGTTGAAGTATAAGTCCTAAACGTGGTCAATGGCAAAGTCACTTTGACTTTGCTTTGTTTTCTTCTCTCTCTCTCTCTGTCTCAATCAAGTCAATTGCTTGAAGAGTGTTGTTGCCCTGAACAGAAAACTCGTGTTTAGTTTACATATTAAGAGCATCAACCTAGAAAACTCTGTTTTCAGAAGGAGATATCAATTTTTTGTGGATTTATGCATCTACCTGTTTGTATTGTGTACAAGAAAGAGAATCGATTTGGTGAGAGCGATCTTTCTCTGAGCCTATATTAGCTATACGAAGAATTATAAGATGATTAAGAAATAATTTTTTCCTGTAGACAATATTATGGTTATCGTGTCTGTTTTACATGGAAATATTCATTTGAGAACATAAGCAATAAATGAATACATGACAGTACTTACACTAGAGGGTCTTGAATTAAATTTCTTTTATGAAGAATATTAATTACATCGAAAGCTTTGATTACAGGAAATATCTCATTTTTCGAATGCGTATCATGTATGAATGTAAGTTCTATTCTTCTTTTAGCTAAGTACTAACATAGAATATATGTTTAAAATATCATATTCATCCAGGCAGACTTTCAGGTTATTGATAATAGAAAGCTCATACAGTGAAAATACGTTTATTAAGGCCTACCCATTGGTCATAAGAATGATGATTCTATTGTATTCATCTGATAGATATTCTACGAACCGTTTCTTTTTAATTAATCTTGATAATTATATTATACCTCAATAGACTAACTAATCTTGGTGGAAATATGACTTTTTTGCGATGCAAACTGATTTGAATGCAATTCATTTGTAAATTCTTATAGAAAAATTTCAGGTGAGATAACTCATTTTTCATTCGTATATATTTGTACGAAACGATCTTTTCTAATAGACTTCCATACTACATGTTATTCGTCGGTGAAAAGCTTTGGCGGTGGTAAAAATTTCTTTTTTTATCACTTTTACTTAATAAATAATGAATGCATCGTGTCAAATTTAACATGTAGTTTTCTAGTCATTATCGCGATTAAAAAGAAAACCGTAGTTAAATACTCTTTTTGTTTAAAAAAATAAAAATACCTCAAACCGTCAAAGCGGCAGAGTTTTACACTTTTGACAACTGTTGAAATCCATTATAGACAAGAAACCAATATAGATCGTGTTTGACAATGACGTTATTCAATCATACTAATTGAATACCTATTCAAATTCATTGACTTGCTATGAAAAGTCTCTATGAGATGAAGATTCTTTCAGTCTCGACTCAATTTTCCATTAAGAAATACGATATGAAAAACTTCTTTTCATCTATAACCAACTATAAAATATCTCTCGTCTCTAGTACACCATTTTAATGATGTAATTTTTCTTTATTAACGTCTGGAACATGTCCATAAAATGCGTTAAGATTTAATTGAAGTACATCGTGACTAAATAGTTTTCAATAAGAAATACCTTCTACGAGTTATTGTATAGGGAGACCGGAATTTCGGCCCACGAAATTTTCGGGTCCGACTTTCAGGCAGGTTCGAAAAATCTCCGGTTTTCGGGACCAATTTTAGACAAATTCATTGAAACCTGAAAAAAAATAATTTTCAAAAAACTAGTTTCTAGATTTGTTAGTGCCGAGCGCAGCGACGTAGCGTTCTAAGCTGTTTATTTATATACTACGGATTCAATGAGGTTTCTTAAGAAAATTTTATTCGCATGATTAAGTTTATATCTCAATTGAGGGAAAAGAGTGCACAAACTTATGATTAAATATTTCACAATCAAGGGCATCTCTTGTTCAATTAATATGTCTTACAGAATGTAATGCGAGGCGTAAATTCACAATATTAAAGTTGAAAGTGCACAAGTGTGTACTAGTACTTGTTGAAATGGATCGTGCCTGCCTTTTGAACTTATTCAACTGTTCAGAATGATGTTCTAAGATGTTTATCGATAATTAATAATTTTATCTTTATTGACATCGGAATTGTATTTATACAACTTCCTCTGAAATCGTTCAATTTCTCTTTAAATACACCATCAGATTGATCAAATTAAATATTTTGTTCTTGATTAGTTTTATTCTCTGCATATTCTATTGTTATCTAATCGTGATTCAAAAAGTCGATATATTTCGATCTACACCGGCACCACTGTTTTCAGCACTACGTCACTCGGCTCAGCACTAAAAAATCTAAAAACTAATTTTTAGAAAATTAGGGTTTTTTCAGGTTTCGATGAATTTGTCTAAAATTGGTCCGAAACTCCGGCCAGAAAATTCCGTGAGTCGAAATTCATCTAACTCATTGTGTATGTCACGGAAAAAAATAGATAATAATTTTAAATAGATGTTTTTTTAATTAACAAGGAAAAATTGTCAATACAGAAAATATTGTTTTTTCTTTCTTCTTCGTCTTCTTCTTCTCCTAATTGTCCCATGCTGAACGGGCAGCAAATATATGCTGAGGTGAATTTGCATCACTATTATTAACAATAGACATAGGAATCGTTGTCCACGATGTAACCGGTGTACTATTTGCAGTTGTTGTTTCCGATGAATTCGATGAAAGATCACGTGATGATTGATGATTTTCATTTCCACTACTACTGCAATCACTAATTGTAGCATTTGCATTGAAAATTTTCGGAAATTGTTTTCTATCCAATTGTTTTAAATAATCTTGAAAACGTTTTTCCATTATTGGATAACGTGGATGTTGCAATTGTGTAACTGGAAATAAACGATTTATTCGATGCGTTGCTTCAATTAATGTTAATTGTTCATCGTTTAACATTAAATATTGTATAGCAGTAACAGCTAACGGGCACGTCGGTGTTAATTCAAAACCATAGATAAGGATACGTGTGCTTTCTTGTTGAGCTTTACTTATGAAATGATTAACAGCTGAAAATAGTTGTTCTAATTGTATACGATTTAATTCACGAGTTTTATTGCTATTTAAATTATTATAGTCTAGTGTTGTTGATGTTGCTGTTGATGATGATGATGATGATGATGATGATGATGATGATGTCGTCGGGATAAATGGTTGATCGAATTCAAGTGTTAATGTACAACGAGAATGTGTATGGCCACAGTGACATTGAAGACGAGCACCAACGTTTGCCTTGCGTGCTAATTCATCAGGTCTCATATTTGTTGCATCAATAAGATAATCAATTGATAATTTACATAACTGCCTTTCATTTTGTAAAGCACGTATTGAACCTAGAAGAATTTCATTTGTAAGAAAAACAATCGAACTATTTGTTGATGATGAATTGCCGTCGATTGTTGCAGATTTAGCTAAGGATTGCACACGTCTAGGCATATCACGACGTGGTTGTGAACGTAAATTTTGACCTAAATGAAAATCATACTTTTCAATGAATTCGACTCAGTTGAACAATATTTTACCGAGACATTCGGATGTAGTTGTGAATACAGTTGGAACTTGATGATGTGTAAATATAGCTTGAGATGATGATTTAGCACGAATATTTGTTGGTGATATCAATGGACAAGAAGGATTACGCCGTTGAGTCGATGATACCAATGTACACGCTGAATCAAGATCCCATTCGTTGTCGTAGGCGGATGGTTTAGCTGGTAGTGAAACAGCAGTTATGGGTCTACTTTGTGGCAAACACACTGAACTTTTTACATCAGTAGTTAAACGACTCGATCGTTTTTGTTGCGACGATGAACTATTATTAGTTCCTAATGATGGCGCATGTCGACGACTCGCTGTTGATGAAATACGATAATTAAAACGACCATTAATATTTTGTTGTGTTCGTTGTAATTCGTCATCGTCATCATCATCATCGGACGACGGTGTTGTAACAACATCTTGAACATTTAAATCGTTTGTTGATGCGCTTTCAATGCGCACAGTTACTTTCGACGGGTCAGCCACTGTTGATGATGATGTTATACTAAATAAGTAATTGAATTATAATCTTGTTTTTTTTCTCTCTCATATCGATTGATTTCAAACTATTGGGATATATCGGCAACAATTTTGTTTTGTATGTTTACTCAGTATAAATTTTCTTTACACTTACCTTGACGAACGACGAACCACGCTGTGCATAATTTCTAACTTGAAGATCGTATGTCTAAGTAATGCGTAAAAGTAAAAAATAAAAAATAAAAAGATCAGCACATCTGGTCTTGAGCAATTAGAATGATTAACAACGGCACATGCTTATGCTAACAAAATGCACGACAATGACAAATGCGCTTGAGTTATATTTCCTTTCTATTTTTTAAAGAAAAGAATAGAAGAAGAACAGCTCTAGAAGCTATTGCAGCAGGCAAAAAGTTTTTTTTTGCCTTCTATCAGAAAAAGTAGAATGAAGTCAAACAAAAAAGAACAGAAGGAGAGTTCTTCCTTTTTTATGTGTAACGCTCTATCCGTCGGACACAATTTGTCGCATTACTTTGAGCTATTGTTTCTGTAAGAAAACTTGAAGGGTTTATCCTATCTCTCACGTTTTCAGATTTTCTTTCTTTTTCTCTCCCTCTACTAGTCTCAGATGTGCATATAAGTTTGTCGTCATCACTGAAGGATGACAACACTATGCTCAGTCTAGAACAACAACAAAAAAAATGGCACATATGCTCAAGTTTTTCTGCATTTCGGTGATAAAAAATTCCCTTCCTGAAAAAACACAAAAAAAAGATTCTTAATATAGAAGTGTCCATTTTAAACCATTCGCTTTTCTAAAACTTTTCAAAAACACTGAACTGATCTATGGCGTTCAATGTAGATATTTGAATTCAACTTGCAGGAAATATTTTCGTTATGTAGAAAAGAAATCTAATTGAAAAGTAACGATGTATTCTATAATAATTTCGCTACTCAAAAATAGTACGCCAGATTTAATGATAACGGTTCTCTGGCTAGTTAAAAGCTGCGACATTCTTTTGAGTAAATTTATTATGACATAATAAGATAAAGAAAAAGAAAATAAGCAGCTAATAAAGTTTTCTTCTTCTTTTTTTGATAAAAGAAATTGCTAAATTATAATTTATTTATGGCCTTTTGCTGCTTTCATTCTATATATGTTATAGACGGTACGGATAACAGATGCACAAAGTAGTCTATAAATAACTCGACAATAAAAAACATTTAACATTTCTAACTTTCTATAATTAATAAACGCTGACTTTTATTTCAACGACACAGCATTTGTCTAAGCTTTTTATTGGCAAGGAAACCGTTCACGGATACTGTTTTTTTAGCAAGCCTCGTTAAAAACAGTAAAGAACTTTTCTAGTTCAATTTCTATAAGGTTCTAACTTGATATACAAATACAACCGCTTTTCATAATGACATGAAGACGGTTTTATTCTATCTATTTTGAGATGCAGTCGTTTTTCTCATTTCTTTTTAAACACAATCCTCGAGAAATGCAATACGGAGCAAGCACTCAAGATATTATTACGAGACGTTATTCATATTCGGGATGTAATCGTATATCAAAAATATTCGGCGCGTTCTGTTCTTTGTTGTTGTAAAGATCCATGCCATGTCTGTGATGCACCCTCTACAATGGCTCGCTCGGCACCAGATCATCAACGGTTCGGTTATGATGACCTAAGAAGAGATGGTGGAGTGACTGGATGCATACAAACTTGTGACTTATATTACTCATCCTTACATGAAAGTCATGTTTCATAATGAACACTTTTGAACGAGTGTAGTGCCAAGAAAGGACGGGATATGACTCAAATAGCGCAGCATGATGTAAAATATCGACAGATGTTGAACATTCAACTAAAATTCACAGATTAAACATATTCTAACAATTTCACATTTTTCATATGAGTGTTTTTTAAAACGTTTTTAAGGCATATTTTTTTAATTGCTACGATGCTTAAATTGATGGAAATAGAAAGTAGTTATTTGCATATCGAAATACGTCAATATTGCAATTGCAAACAGAATTTAATAGGTTACAAAGTAATTAAATATCTACATGATATCTATGCAATTAGTCGAATGTATGCTATAATCATTAAACGATTATTCTTCAATAATAGAAAATTCATCGTTTCATTTTGAATTTACCTCAATGACTTGATGACATTTCGGTACAAGATCAGTGCAACTATGTACAGCTGATGCGTGCCCTCGTTGCATGATATTTATAAATTTATGGTCAATGAATGGAATCCTAATGCTCGATTACGATCTTGATAGCCTCTTGTTTTTCGTACTACATTCTTCAACTGATGTTTACGCTTGAGAGAAATTATCAAATCGGCAAAAGGATGGATTTCCATTCGGAGAGGAAAATAGTCACAACTATTTTTCTATAAATTCACGCGCACGTGTCCTAAAGAAATAGTTCGACAAAAAACAAATATGTAATACAACGAAATTTAATTCTTTTTTATGAACCAATTGTAGATATATTTTGATTGAGAAGGTGATTTCTCAATGTCACTTTCAATAGACACTTGCGCCAGACATGTCGTTTTCGCATCTGTTTTGATCATTACATCTCTAACGATCATAATCCGCATGCATTTTTTAAACATATATATGTACAGGAATCATCATACTCCGAACATCAATCATCTGCTAATCAATGTTTATATCAGAAAAAAAAGCAATATGATATTCTGTGCAGCAGAATGATACTTCCACAACATCGGTAATGAGATATGTGCTTGATTGATAGATATTTCACTTGTCTATCAAGATTCCTAGGCAAAATTTTGCGGTTTGAAAATCAAAGGCACATTAGAAAGCTGAACACTTTCTGAGTAGCACTCCATGAAGCTTTTGTTTGCATGTCTATTAAGCTCTAATTGTAAATAAACGATGACATTGACTTATATGCAATGGCTGGAAAAATCGCATTTTTCAAAATTCTATGTTAATTCTAATAAATAGTTTTTGCTAGTGAAGGACATCAACAAGTGGCTCACCTTTTCGTTTAACTATGTTCTTGAGATTATTTAAGCAACATTGTGCACTGATTTAAATCACTTATTTACTCCTTGAGCGAATGTGAATGGCCATGCTCAAGTGAATCTTCTATCATTATCTATCTATTTCCAGTAACATTGTATATCACGATTTTACTTGCAAAAACAAAAACTCTATTTCAATACCTATCGAGCAAACAGGAATTTTATCCGAAGCAAAGATTCATTTCTGAACAAAACTATGCTTAGCGGTGATCGCCAATCGCCTAATTAAATAAAAACAAAAAAAAGAATTTTTATTTCTAAAGTCTAAAAGTAGTGTACCGAAGCATTGCTTTAACTTTCTCGATTTTTTTCCTAGTGAATAGGACGAAAAAACAAACAGTATAATATAAGACAAACATTATGTCATTCAATTTGAATCGAACATAATCACATGAACTCATTTGACATAGGCGAACAAATAAAGTCATAGACTACCCACAAGACAAAAGAAAAGAAAAAAATCTCATTCTATATTTGAATACTGTACCGAGAAGAAAAATAAAAGAAGGAACATATATGTTAGGAATATGAATAATAATTATTTCGGCGGTGAACCGGCAAGTGGCGGTGAAGATGTACCAGGTGATGGTCCATGTGCGCCAGAGCCGCGTCTGGGACGATCAGCGTTTTCCATTGACATAGAACGTGATAAACGTCCTAAACCAGCCAAGCCGGCTTCCAATGGTAAACCGGATACTAAACAATAAAAAGAAAAATTTTAACAAATGTCAACCGCAAATATAAATTGCATTCATACTTAAGCCAATTCCTTGTAAAAAGAATTGCATTGACTTAGCCAAAACATCGGGCTGAAAAAATGATATATATGTGAACTTTATAGTGTTCGATTTGATTATCTTACTGCTTCGCCAAGTATATCTCCAACATCGTCAGCAATTAGCAGTGGCGAATTGACCATTTTTTGTGGATTATCACGTGACGTACGTAATCTTTCATAGAACTTCTCTGTTGTATGTAATACAGAACTTTTCTTTCCAACAGCAACGAGGCAATCGACACTAGTTAAAATAAAATTTAAAGAAAAAAGAATTAGATTTATCTTTTCGTTTAAAAAAACTTACGTCAATTTATCCAGTTTATCAACAAGATTGGTTCGGCTATTGATTTTTGAAAAGAAAAATCGTGTTGCAAATCTATTTTAAACTTATAGGCACTTACTTAAGAAAAGCATCCAGAAAAAGAGCTAAATTCTTTGGTGTTCGTTTCTGATAAAGTTTTTCAGAAAATTCACGAATATTGGCCTCAAGCACTTGCGAATCAATATAGCCCTAATGTAATACAAAACAAAAATTTATGTTTTTATACTTAAAATATAAATATCAAATATCATTCATGCATAAAATTGTAGACACAATCCCTGCGGAAATCAAAATGTAAAAGACAGCTCTTTTGTTGCTCTTATTATTAATCACAATAAGGTCATTTTATGATATGTATATATATATATATATATCCCTTCGCACAACTTTTCACCGCCATTTTACTCAATAACTCTGCATTGTGATGAAGAAAAACAAGTGCACAGAGTTCAATTCATTCAATAATTATACTTTAAAATTTTTTTTACACTGTATGGAATGTCACAAAATCTTATGATTAATGTCTTTCTACCGAAGCTCTAGTGTAAAACATTCGAAAATCATTTCTCTCTAGAGTTTGACAATATATTATTTTTAGAGAATTTATACTTTTTCTGATCTTTCCATTCAAAGAAAAGTAACCAGGTAATAGAACTATAGTTGCCCTTGGCAACTTTATCGATAATGTTGCATCTCATTAGCCTAATGAAAGGTCTTGGGCCATCTGTCGCATGTTCTTTATTTTTATAATTTTTAATAAAAACTTAAGACGATTTCAAAAATCCCTGAAGAAATGGATGCCATTGTAATTTTTATCTTGCGAGCTATTAGCATACCGAGGTAAAATATTGAAAAATAACATTTTACTAGTGCTCTTTATCACTTATACGACTAGAATAGAATATCCAGTATTCACCGACTAAATAATAATCAAGCAGAATTTCGGATATTGTTTTTCTTCCTCGACTGGGAGTAAAACAAAACCATTGGCACGCATATCTCTCTAGACATTCATGTTTTTCTTTTTCTTTTTCTTTTTCTTTTTCTTTTTCTTTTTCTTTTCGATGCTTTTTTTTATCAGCTATTCAAATCCTATTACAGTGACATTCACAACAAGTAATTCTATATGATTTGTATATGCATTAACGATTTGATCTAATTTATCTGACGGTTTAAATTTCAAATAGAAATTTTAGAAAATATATTGTGTTCCAGACTCGAAATGAGTAATCATTATCTATTGATCTCTAAGATCTTTTGTATCTAACAGTTGTGAAATGAGATTTTCATATAAAATACTTCTTCTTCGGATCATCATTAAATTGTTAAAAACAACACGCAACAAAAAATCTAAATACCTTTGCAGCATCCTAGAAGAAAAAGAAAAAAAATCGTTATAAATAATTACAAAATAAAGATTAATAGTAAACGTACGCGACCAAATCGATGCCATATAAGATAAGCTTCGGCATCAGGATTCATTCCTTTATTGATTAGTTTCCAATTATTAAGTTTATCTTTCATCATTTCCATGAAACCAGCGGTTGTACCCGTTGGATGAACAAGTACAAGACCATGAACACGTGATGGATTTTCGATAGCAAAACGACATCCTATATTAGCTCCAGCACCTTCACCGAATATGACCGTTTGTGGAATATTTAATTGGTCGAGAACATTGATTAGTTCACTTGCAACATCGTCCAAGCTGGGATATTTTCTACGAAGAAAAAATTACTTCATATTTAAAACTAAAACACAAAATCTTACTCGATATTTAAAATACTGGCACCATCCTCTTGACCGGGAAAATCAACATGTACCCAAACAATTCGTTGTTTCCTAAAGAAAAACAAAATAATAGAAAAATTCTCTAGATATTTCTATGATTATTTACAGAGGACGTATTTCTGGTTGAGAAATAAATTCCGTAAAAACTGAATCTAGAAGTAAACAAAAACAAAAAACACAGTGTGGCTCTCATAGAAGAAAAATTTATCTGTTCATCTTACGACTACAACCAAGATCGTGTAATGTCATTACATAGCACTTTGATGTGTTGCCAGTGTCATCCTAAATTATGCATATGTCATGATTATTAAATATAAATTAGAATAAAATATACTTGAATCCAGACTGTATAGTCAAGACCAAGTTTGTTTGATCGAACCACATGTTTCTAAATAAAGATTAAAATGAAATGAGTAGATGTATTACTAATTATTACGTTGATTAAAAATTTTAATTGACACTCTTCGATCGATGTTTAGGAGCAAGCAATCTCAATAGAATTCATTTGATTGCTCAGTTTGTCGGAGAAAACAACTTGAGAAGGTGAAAGTCTCGTTTTTATCTTTTCTACACTTAATGATGACCTTTATTATTTTTATTAGGAGTATATAGATAAACATAAGGTAGGTGTGTGTGTGTGTGTAGCAACGAAAAAAAATATTGTACAAGAAGGAGAATTCTTTTTTTTTCAAATAATAAAAACATGCCGAGCGATTTTTTAACAATTATTCATGACACTTATGACTTTCAAAGACATATTAAGTGATAAATGATCTGTCATTGACATTTTCAGAATATCGTATGCCATTTTTTTCTTTTTCACATACAGTACACTACAAAATTTTCGTTGTATAAATAGAATTTATAATGCTACACATATGTATATGTTTATCGTTGAAAATATTTACTTAAAACGAAAATAAACGTCTATTGGTGTTTCTAGTTTGTATCGTGCTGTTTTATGAAAAGTGAAACCTTGCAATTATACGGAAGCAACTCACTTGAATTTGTTGAACATTTGAAAGCTTTTCAAGTAATCCTGCACGTTCAGTATCATCCATTTTGTGCGATTAGAATAAGATTATCAACAGTTCTTATATGAAGAAAAAAAACCGAACGATTTATATAAATGTTTTCTTTCTATTGCAACAGTGGATGTCTATTGACAAACGTAAAAATGAGGTGAGCGTGATTGCACATATATATATATATGTAAGCGAAGATGCAAGAGAGCGTATTGCGATTGGAATTGGAATTGGACTCTTGCTGTAGAGAAAGGGAGGAAAAAAATTTTGCATTATGACAAAGATAGTGACGAAAACAAAATGATGAAATAAACTCGTTGATAGAGAATGAGAAGATATATTTTCGCAAAATCACCACGCATCTTGATAAAAAAGATCTATTTATATAAAGTCATTTTCTAACATTCTCAAATGGATTTTTATCTATGTCTACGATTAGTTTTTCGCTTTTATGAATTCATAAGAAAATGAATGAATGTATGTGTCAAACAAAAAACTAATACGAGGCGCGACACGATGGGTTACTGTAGCTTGTTGAAATTTCTTCGGACGGCTCAGCACACGTTGCCATTTCTTTCTTGTGCTGCGGCCTGAAAGACTCTCCCCGAACAGAACGATAAAAGAGAGTAAAGGAAGAAAATCTTATGCACATCTATAGTTTTCTGTTTTCATTCCTTATTTTTTTTTCTTCTGTTTAGCCATTGCCTGCCTTTTAGCACAATTCGGCGCGCATAGTGATGCTTATGTCGTCAGTCGATTGCTTGCTCGAGTTCAAGTGATATACGATGAAAGAGAAAAATCAAAGACAATATTAAAAAACAAAGAAATATTATAATGAGTATTGTTAGAAGAACAAAAAGAAAAACCAATCGATAATTATTTACATGTAACGCATGTGCTCATGACTATACGCTGTTAAACGGAAAAATCTATACTACTTAGACGGAATATATGTTTTTTAATGCAAGATAATATGTTTCACTGGTTTTTGTATCGTTTGTATATTCATATTTGATGAATTCCATTATTCGGATGTAACAAAAATAAGATTATATATATATAGTTATGACCATTTTCTATGCGCTGTTTTTCTTCTAACAGGACAAAAATGGCACGAGCGAAAAACTATTTATAAACAAAAAAATGCCATAGTTGTTTATGCAACAGTAGACTCTAATTTGTTTTTTTTTGGTGTATCAAAACGATAAAATGTTTTTATAGAAGAAATTTTTCTTTTTCGATAGAAACCGATACTCGAATTGTCAGTTCATAAGAACACTCATTAAACGATAACTTTATATTATAGACAGCTATTACGTTATTTCAAGCTATTGACTACATAAATTATAATGATAACATCTTCAACTGTTAGTATAACTCTGCCAACGTTGCTTATAGAAGCCGTAGGACATGTTATAGACGGAAAATATATACACACATCTATGTGCACATCATAAGTTGATCAACTGCTCCCAATGGTATATCTGTTGTGGCTGTCGAACAGTTATATGTATAGAACAGAGAGCGCTAATTTAAAAAAAAGAAACTTTCTATGATCTCTCAATCAATTTGATTACATCTGCTGACTATTTAAATCGACTACAGATAGAGAAAAAATATTTGATTGAGTATTTCTACGTAAGATGTCGCTCATGGTACGAAAATCCCAAACTAATACAATGACCTTTAAATCAACGCTGCAGGTATTGCGTATAGTCGTCTAGCGAACTATGAATTTTCACAAGCAACTGATACTTTATGCGCTTAATTCAGTACACGAAGACCTGCAATTGCTACAACAGACTTCACTCTTTTTCGAATAGTTTCTATAGGGTTATAATGAGTCAGGGGTGGCGGAGCGTCATTAAGTTAGGTGAGGCTCATCTTAGTTTTTTGCTACCGTGGGATTTTATGAAACATCAAGTAGTAAATAAGTCTTCTTTTTCTTGAACTTCAGTAAAAATAAAAATGGTCAGCATAAGAAAGAAGATTGGAAAATACCGAAAACTACTTTTCTTTGCTCCTACTCTGATGCAAGAACAAAAAAATAGCAATATTCAGTACAAAAGCAAGTGAGGCTGAGTCTCATATCGCGAAATCTAGGTGAGGCTGAGCCTCATCTACTGAAAACTAGGTGAGGCTCAAGCCTCACCTGTCTCAGTGGCTCCGCCGTCACTGTAATGAGTAGAATCCCCAAATGTTTTCCGTCAGAATTTTTTCTTACTGATTCCGGAATATAAAAAAATACCTTTTGTGCAACTTGATTATTTATTTTCAATTGATGTAATTTTTCACGGGTTGATGTTTCCATATTGTTTTCTTCGCGTGTTTGCGTGTATCGATGAAGTTTTTAGTAATTTTTTCTTGCTATATCATGAACAACATCATTATTCTTTAATAATAACTATGACTATCTAAAAAAACATATATAACTCGTCGATTTCATTTCGGATGCGACTACTATAGGTTTTCTTCATCCGAAACAATACTAAGAACCATCAAGTAGCATATTGTTGTCAAAAGGAAAAAAAAAGAAAAGAAGGGTTATGCCGATTTTTTTTCTTGAAACCTACAGAATAAATATCAGAACGATGTCGACCTGTTATTTTTTGACACAGGGAAAAGTCATACCCCATGATAGCGATCCAATCGCATCAATAGATAAGCATCGATACCAAAGAAAGAGGGCGAGAAATCTATGCATGCCTACAGAACAAATACTAGCAAGTAGTTAGAAGAAACTCAAAGGAAAAAAAAGAGAAAGATAAAGAAGAAAACAAAATATTGGAATAGAACACTAAAGCATCTATCATGGCTATCACTACTCTATATTTGATTGTTACTGTTTTACAAATCGGTCAATCTAGAACACTCAACTGACTGTGTTTCATACATTGATTATTATTTGTTGAACAATCGCAGAGATAGTAGTAATAAAATTAAGAGCAAATTTATAGCCTAAAGACAGCGATTTTATTATGCTCGATATTTCTCGTAATAAATGATGCAAGCATTATAATTGTGAAGCACAATGCTGAGCCTGCAGTGGTAACTAGAATTTATTTTTTTGTAATTCTCTACTACAGTTCGCATATTGATAATAATGAAAAATAACTTTATAAAATAAAAATGTTTTAAATATTACAAATCAATAAAAAAAATGGATCAAAATTTGATCAACTTTATATGGGAGAAAAAAATGTCGTTGAAGGAGCTGGATAATTTATTGTTGGTGTATTTTGAAAATGAAATTGACGTATAAGAACAGGTGTACCAATTTGATCTTTAGTAATCGGTGTTGTTGACATATTAGAATTATTAATTTCAAGAAATTTACTCCAATAACTCGATGGCATTTGAAGAAAAAATTCAAGTAGTTTTGTCTGTTTATATGTTTCACTAACAAGATCAATACCGGATACATGTTTTGATGAATAGCCAATAACAGATGGACCCTAGAAATATATTTATTGAAAACAAAATCAGATTATTTTTCTCTTTATTTACCATTGTTCGGCTTAAATTTAATATCGGCATTCGACAAATTGCCGATGTCGACACACGCTGTAGATGAAGAATAATAAATGCTAATGTATCACGATTTGGTTTTGGTAATTGATGAATAAGTGAATCAAACTTTTGATGTTTTATTGAATCGAATTCTTCGTCGACAGCAGATGCGAATGATTTCCATAGAGCATCGGTTAATAAAGATTCAGATAATGAACGAAGAAAATCTTTGACAACACCACATATCAAATGTATATCGTTGTAATGTGATAGATCAAATAAACCTGTACGAGATTTAAGTATACGATCTTTAAGTTCTTTTGCTTGACTTTCAATACTAAAAAGAAACTCATCGATTAGATATTCCATTATTTGATAAAAAGTTAATCGGATTTTTTATGCACGAGATCATTCGTTAGTATTCATTGACTTTCTATACACGTCGTATATTATTATACTTTAATGACTGGTGTTAGTTGTCTGAGGAACAAGAAACTATACTCTCAGTCTCACTATAAATTGCTCATCAAAAGTAATAATTCAGAACCGTCTCAACGTACACATTCAATCGATAAAGTCCAATTTCTTGTAATCCACGTTGTTCTATTTCATTAATACAATGCACGAGTAAAGCCGGTATTTGCAATTGATTTGGTTCACGTGGACTAAATTTGCACACAGCACCACGATTCGGTGTTTTTACATTTGGTAAACAGAGGGTTGTGCAATTTTCCTTACAGCCCGTATGACATAAAGCGTTGCATGCTTGACAACGATAAGCTAATTTACCGAAATGAATACGTTTAAGACACTAAAAAAAAAGAGGAATATCGAATTAATTTTCTTTTTGTCTTTTCAACGTACAACACAGCATGTTTCTGGTATGAGGATATTTCTTGAAATAAAATTGTGACCTCTGGAATGTAATTTAGTAATATTAGATGGACTTGAGTTACTATTAAAATTTGATGCTAGTGTTGATGGTGTTAAAGTTTTCTGTTCTATTGTTGGGCTGATTAATTTTGGTAATGCTGAATTGATAGGTGATAGAGATTTTTGTTCATGATGGCCTTCGATATGTTTTGACCAAAATTGATCATCGATACTTAATTCTAATTCTTCTACAAGACAAAAAACAGTACTCTGAGTATGTATTAAATTTATTCTAAACAAAAGTTTCAACCTGATTTCGTATTTAGAAATTCTTTTGATGGTTTTCGTATCCTTTGTTTTGGTCTTTGATGAATCGACAGAGACTTTCGCGATGATACAGGAATTGGTGACGTACGTAACTGATTAGATTCCAGTTTATTTTTGTTCACATTTCTATCGTTGCTTGTTGAAATATTCACAAGAGACTAAAAAAAACAAAATTTAATATTCATAGTAATCTATTGATAGATATTCACTTTATGGAGTTTTAAATCAATATCATTTGTATCAGTGAGTCTTTTTATTTCACCGATACCGGCGGATTGGCTAACAACTTTAGGCATATGAGAATAATCAACATCAAGTTCATCTCCAGTACAATATCTGTCCGATAGATCAGCTGTTGTTTCTCCTTCAGACATATGAGAATTCCTAGAAGAAGAAAAAAACTATTGAGTTTTGCTTTTGAATTCAATTAGAAACCAACCGAAGTATGTCATATAGTTTATTATAAGTACTCTGTTCGGTTATTGAATCTTTTACTCGATCGAACCATCGTTGTAATTCAGTAAGACGTTCATTGTTTCGTTTGTTATGTTGAGTTAATCGAAGAATTTGTGAACTGAATTTAAACAAGAAAAACAAATTTAATTAAATAATTCATAGAAACAAAGTTACCTTTGAGATTGAATTTTTTTATCTTTGCGTTCTGATTCTGCTCGGTAGTGTTCAATATATCGATCCAATTGATCAGTTTGTGAACGTAAATCAGCATATTTACGACGTAGATCATTGTGAAAGATTAACAAAGTACTAAATTCTATCCGAAAAAAATAAATTCAGATTAGTCAATCTGATTAACATAACTATATTTAGATGTAAGAATTTTGACTACAACCTTGATCACAAGAACTTTGTGCTAATAAATTATTTTTTATAAGTATATCTTGATAAGCAATCATAGTTTGCAGTCGTGCTTTGAAATCGGCAGTTGTATCAATATCCATAGTTAGTAATACAATCAAGTTTATTTTGCTACTGCTGGAGATAAATTAGTTTGTAGATATAGAGATAAAAGTATGATGAAGAAGAACAGATCTTTATAGGCCATATCCAATTAAAATATGCTCAAAAGAATGATTATCTCTATGTCTTAGCCTAATAGATGGCGTTCTATACTATGGTTTTTAAAACCCAGTGACTTTTTTATCTTTTTCTTGCAACAAAAACGAATAACTAATGAACACCCGTAAGACTCAACATGTAACTATTTGTCAGCCTTCGAAGATCAAAGCAAAAACAATTAAAGAATACATGACGGATAATGCTTTATTAAAAAAAAAAGAGTAGCATTCGCAATGAAATTCAATAATCATTATGTGACTACAGGTTTTGTGCAATCATCACAACTGCTGCCATTAATCTTCCCAATAAGACTAAGATTTACCCATTCTTTTGTTCCCATTTTCATCTAAACAAGACGATTCCATAAGTTGCTATACGAAACAACAAAATAAGCCGATGATAATTTACAAGAAACACAGCATCATCGAGTTTCTCCGTAGGGGGTGTGGGCGTGAGTGTTGCTGTCCATCTTCGCTTAACTCCCACACACCCACACCCACAAAGAATGAAAAAATAACGTTGTCGTATTGCGCTGTTGACTCACCTAATTATATTTAGGTCGTCATTTCTTCTCGAGTCAGTCAACAAGAAGACAAGTGAGAGACAAACATTGGCAAATATCAATTGCTGCAAAAGCTTGAGTTTCATTAGCAAAGATAGTACAATAAGTTTCGAGTCAGTAACATGAATATTTACTGTTGCCAACAACGATTCCAAACTTAAATTTGAAAATGATCGTCTTGATTAGTTTTTCTTATTGTATGAAGTAGAATGTCTCATAAGAATTATTCGGTTCTATTGTTAGAGTGAGATTCCTTATGAATGGAGTTTGATACAATGTTTCTATACTGAATTTTCCATACACACTAGCTATTCACTCTATTAGCCATAGGCGTGACTTTACATCATGATGTAATCCAATAATTCAAAAAGAATTAGTTATGATGAAATATGATCAACTGGCTCTGTTGTATCATTTTATTTATTGTTTTCATAGCGATGAATAAATTATAAAAGTAGCATTGTTTGAATTGAAATAGATTCTATCATGTTTATTAAACTTTTTCTTGAAACACGTTTGTCCCGATGAAACCAGCGACATTTGACTTCATTTGACGCCAATGAATGTTTTTCAAGCTGTAGAAGACCACACCCTAGTGAATAACGCTGATCAAACATTTCTCTAGCAATTTTGTTTGATGCTACTTTGTATATTGATCTCTACTGAACGAGACCGTGAGCGATAAGATTTTTAAAAATGGTGAATTTATAAAGTTAGTACTATTCTTAGAATAAAGAATATCCTCCTTAGCTAGTAAGTAGAAGGGTTCCATTGGATACTCGATAGTATCTCTGAATTATGGAGAGATTTTTTGCTCCTCAACAATGCATTTGTACAAGCTTTTTCCAGTTCATAGCTCTCTTACACATTACTCGTACAAAAGTATCGAAAAATGTTTTTATGTGAATGAGAACTAGAGCTGCAAGTAACTGGAAGGAATTAGTCGCAACACTCTTTTTACCTATCTTCATTGTATAGAACAATTCAAACTAGCGTTTAAATCCTTCATAAGAAATCTATTGAAAATGAGAAGTCCATGGCATAAACGCTGCTCTTCAATAGTATCCGATTGAATAGGTTTTGAAAATTTTGATGAAGGTATCAGATGGTATTACCGAATCGTTTACTTACGAGTAGAATTTCGTAAAAGATTTCAGATATTCAGTCTCGTGTTTATTTAAAGAAGTGTATCTGCACATATACGTAGATAGTTTTGATATCAATGAAGTATCATTGAATATTAGAGCATGCCCCGAAATAGATCAGTTCAAAGTTTACAAGAGCGTGTCAGTTGGAAATTCATTTTTTCGAACAAAATCCCGTAGTACGGGATGATATGACTCAGAAATACTTCCTGCTTATTCCACGAAACCCAGTTAGACAGTCCTCAAATGTGCACAAAAAGAAATACGATCTGTTTTTCTCGAGGATTTTTCATGTTAACAAATTCTCATGTCAATTGGCATTCATATGTGACAAAACATAGAGTCAGCAAATGTGCATTAGTTTGTCACATATTATTTATCAAAACACGAACGGATACTGTAAGCAAACCAAACGGCATTAGAGCATGTTTCTTATGAATTTAAGATCGTATAATCTCATAGGGCTACAAACACACTTTGTCTATCGAAAACTATCAACAATAAAAAAAATTCAGTTTCACCTTTAATCGGTATTCATTGTTTATTCGTTTATTGCAACGAATCAAACTAAGAAGCGCGAATGGCTGTTCCAGAACAAATTATACAAATGGATGGATCTGCCATTGAAACTCGTGACCAAAAAAGTGTGAAATTCAGAGGCGGTCTCAGATTTATTTCCTCTTTACTGTTGCCACTTACATTAGGCATCTTTACTATTGTGATTACTTTTCAACAACAAACTGCAGCTAAACAACAACGTAATGACGATCGAGAGGCAGCGCAACAGCAGCGGGATCAAGCAAGCAACCTAGATAGTAAAAGATATCAAAACGATCGTTTCGACGCTTATATTAAGGAAATGGGTAAACTACTAAAGGAGAACCATGGAGAAATAATATCAAGTAAAGTCGCAATTACGCTTGCTCGAGTTCAGACCCTGAATATCTTTCGTCAACTAGACGCGCAACGCAATGTTCACATTATTCGATTTCTCTACGAAGCGAAACAACTCACTGATACACCGGAAAATCGTTCACTCGATCTTTCAACAGCAGAACTTAGTGATATTGATTTCCGTGAATCATCTATCAATAAAAAAATATTGAATAACCTATCGTTGACCGATATTTTCCTATCGAATGCTACGTTTATAGGCATCACGATGACACATGTTAATTTTGCTCTTACTCAGTTCAACACGGCTAATTTTTTATTAGCAGAGATCAATAATGCCAATTTTTCATCTGCTGCCTTCAATAATACTAGCTTTGCATCCACTTCTTTGTCCAATACCATTTTCGCTGGGGCTACATTTAAAGATGCTAATTTTTCTTCAACTAAGTTTGTCAAAGTTAATTTTTTAAAGACGAAACTGAACACGGTATATTTTTCATCTGAAAATATTCATGATCTCAATTTTACATTCAGCTCCCTCGTCAATGTTGATTTCTCGTTCTCTGTGCTTTATAATGCTGATTTTTCATCCGCTTCACTTTCTAATGTCAATTTTTCACACGCGGTACTCTTCAATGCCATATTCTCAACTGCGATCCTCAATGATGTTGATTTTTCGTCTGCTGAGTTGCGCAAGCCCGTTTTTTCATACGCTCAGTTCATGAAAGTTAATTTTACATCCACTCTTTTAAGTAATGTTGATTGCAATATTAATTTTTTTCTTGAAGTTATTATTTTGATTACTCTTCAGTTTTAGCCATGTTCTACAAGGCCAAAATATCTAATTCGAACTTTCACCAATCCAGTTGTGTTACATCTAGATTCAATTATGCTGTGCTATCCGATTGTAACTTTGGCCACTCAAATCTTAAGGATGCTGTATTCCAAGCAGCTACATTGAATCAAGTTAATTTTTCTCGTGCTAACCTGTATCAGACTACTTTCATTAGTGCCAATATGGCAAAGAGTGAATTGAATAATGCTCTCTCTATTCAAGACACTGTATTACCAAATGGAAACCATGCTCATGATGAGAACTTGATCACAAATGGCCAAGCTGATTGTAATATTTCTCATATTAGTAGTTGGACAGTGAGCAATGGTAATATCTCTTCGGTCATATCTAACAGCAGTAATTCAAATTGCCAGTTCACCTTACAATCACTCTCTACTGGAGCTACTATGTACCAGCGTGTCCGTTTATCAGATAAGTGGAATTCAAATTTGTGGACATTTTCTGAAGCCGTACTAAGTGCAAAAATGAGCACCGGCGTATCGATAGACCTAAAAGGATTACACAAGAATAAATCAGTGTCTTCCAAAGAAACTTTAAGTAAGCTTCAATATGCTACTAATGAATTTCATATATCTTGCATTTGCAGGCTCGAATGAAAAGCAAATCAATTTGCTTTTACACAATAATATGTGGGAACTTGAAGTATTTATCCAGTTCAATGCTACTACAAATCATAGCAATATGAGCAATTACTGGTGTGATGACATCAAGCTCTACATAATCTATGGAACATATTTCGAATCAATGCAAGGTAAGTATTGTCCCAGATATTGTCTGTAGAGAGTTCAGAATATGTTAGCACCAGGCGCATTGTTGCGCTGTTGAAAAGCGACCTTTGTATTCGTCAGACACTTAATTCATTCTATATTTGAGATATTCCCAGTGTGAAAAAACCTGTTAAAAGTAGTTTTTTTCTTGCTATCTATTCAATCATTAATGAATTCAAATTATCAGAAAACACTTTATTCTATGAGTTATGAAATTTATAGTGAGAATTACGAATTCAAAATGATTACTGTGCAATACAGATTGCGACAGGTTTATCATTATGGCATTTTGACTGCATAACATATTTTGTCGAATATATTAAAATGCTACGTCCTAGACTGAAACTCTGACTCTGAAAATTGCATCAACAGTAAGGTACCACCGTATGTCCTATTTTATTCATGCACATATCGATCTGAAATATTTTATATTCAAAATGACACGTTTCAAGAATTATTGATTTATACTTTCGAACGACGTTATTTTTATCACGCCAATAGAGAACATTTCTTGCACAGGCTTGGATTTTCAATTTCTTATGATCGATGTACTTTTCGTAATAATGTGCAAACGATTCTAAGTTAAATGATTGCCGAGAAAATCATCTATCGATGTTCATTGAAAAAAGTATCGAATTTAGATCTTTTGTTTTCATCTCTACCATTTGCTTTGTATTACTCTCACACACCGATAACGGCGAAAGATATGACGTAAGACAGCCTATTTGGCAATCTCATCCATTTCTCCTATCTCTAATTAAGAATACTTCTATTTTCTTCATTAACTTTATGCATCGATTTTCAAAAAATTGGACATCTTATATTTTTCTTCTTTTTTACCAAATTCTATTTCTTGAAGCTACATTAGAATAAGTAGATTCTTGTCAATAGATTCATTGCATTCTAATTCATATTCACTATTTAAGAAAAAATAAATACCACTGATAAAAATAGGACTTAGAAGTAGACTCTGTTTTGCTTAGATATTTTTCGATATCTAATACTTTAAAAAAAAAAACAGTGAAGATGTTTCGATCTGAATTTGGCCTTCATTTTCAGTTAAATATGTCTATGATATGAATATTTTGAGAAGAAATTTTATAGTTCGACTTGTTTTCATAATAAATACATTGCATTCAAGGGTGTGGGTGCCGATGGATATACACAATTGAACTAGACTTAATCACAGAGTTATGGACGTATTGATCTAGAGTCTAGACTCTAGTCATGTAATTCATCGTCATCATTACCTCTTTTCTCACTGGAGATTAAGTAAAATGCAATCCTGTCGATAAAAGTTTCGTAATATAATTTTTTCAGTTCTCTACTTCTAATCGTCAACAAAAATAACTTTTCTCATTATAGACTACGATCATTGAGTATTTCATTTCAAAAGAATATGTCAGTGTTGAAAGACAGTTGCCTTAGAATAATTCCCTTTAAGTTTTCTAAAGAATCTTTTTAGGGGAATCTTCTTGAATTGCTAAAAAAATGATCTGTTGAAGAAATTTCGCTCTGTATATTGGAAATCAGATGTTGATTTCATATGCTATTGGATAAGCTGAGAGTGCTCGAGAGTATTTATTTTCACACTTTCCATGGCGTCTTTTCTAACGCAGTACACATAAGCGACAAAGAGAGAGATCTACTTTTATTCTTATGTTTTCTCTTCTAGTTAATATTCCTGCTAATGCCACGTGGGTGCAGAATGGTGTGACTATTGCTGAAGGCAGCAAAGAGGAGGGGAATGACACTAATCAACTCAGAAACCCTTTTGGTATCTTCGTTGATGACGATCAAACAGTGGTTGTTGCTGACTACGAGAATCATCGTATCATGCAATGGAAGAACGGTAACACAACGAATGGACAAGTTGTCGCTGGTGGCAAAAGCGATGAAACTGGATTAAATCAATTACAATATCCAACTGATGTATTAATTGACAAAGAGACGGATAGTCTCATTATTTGCGATCGAGGGAATCAACAAGTTGTACGATGGTCTCGTCGTAGTGGTACAACACAAGGTAAAATACTCATCGACAACATTGATTGTTGGGGATTAGTAATGGATGAACGGAGATATCTCTACCTCTCTGACTACGTAAAACATGAAGTAAAACGATATCAATTGGATGAGAAGAATGGCATTCTCGTAGCTGGTGGTAATGGCGAAGGGGATGAACTCAATCAACTCAAGTTTCCGACATATCTCTTTGTCGATCGACAACAGAATGTCTACGTATCGGACAACGAAAATCATCGTGTAATGAAATGGAATAAAGGTGCAAAAGAAGGTATTGTGGTTGCTGGAGGAGAAGGCCTAGGGAATGCTCTGACGCAATTGAATAGTCCCAATGGACTCTTCGTCGATACATTGGGTACACTCTATGTAGCAGACACGTTTAATCATCGTGTAATGCGTTTGACTCAAGAAGCAAAACAAGGCACTGTAGTTGCGGGTGGAAATGGCGAAGGAACAGAAGCAAATCAATTCAACGTCCCCATTGGCTTGTCTTTCGATCGACATGGTAATCTCTATGTCGGCGATCATTGGAATAATCGTGTTCAACGATTTTCTATCAAATAAGCAGAGTTACCAAATCTCCTGTTTTGACCAGGGATCTACTGATTTTGAAACTTTTATCCTGATTTCTCCTGATTTTTGTAATGTGACGATTAACTTCGTTTTGAATCTATAGCGATTTCCAAGAAAAAAGAACCAGCTTATGGAGACGTTAAGCTTATATATGGAATGATAGGCGAAATCAAATGAGCCATAATTTAGTTGGAGCTGAATTGAAGATTAAAATGAACACTCATTTACAATGTTGCTAGATCTCGAACTTGATAGTCAGAAAACTTGCGGAGCTTTTTTCAAATGTTGAAAAAATGCGGAAAGACTTTTTGGATCCGTTTGTTCATTTAAAATACGTTTTACTCTCACGGATTCGAAACAAACATACTCTTTATACATATATACAACATATGTTTAAATTAAAAAGTGCACAACCAAGAAGGTTGCCTGATGTCAGTCTCGAAAATCCAAAAAATTCCGGGATTTGTTTTTCGGAATCTAGAAAAAAATCGAGAAAAGCTTTGGAAATTCGGAAAAACTTTCGAAATCTGGAATTTTTCCAGAAGATGTGGGGATCTGGCAACACTGTCTATTTTACTTGACCAGAACTCTATGATTCGAAACATATATTCGATTGTTAGATTTAAGTTGAATCACGTCGCAAAAGTGTCACGAATTGCTGAGTAAATTGGTTAAGTAGTTTTTACTATGTATTCTAATGAACACGTTTTAATTATCTATTTAAATAAACTTTATGAAATCAGCATTCTATTTTCAATTTTAATTCGTCTACAAGGAAAATTTTCAGCATCAATCCCATTATAGGAAAAGAGGTTAATGCATCTATTAGTGAAAAATCGGAAGTTTTCAGGTAAAAATCATCGAATGACTGTTGAATGTCAAAAAAGACACTCTTGGTTTTTCTCCTGATTTAGGAAAAAAATTGTCCTGAAAAACTGATTTTTCACAAAAATTCCCTGATTTCTAAAATTTGTATTTGGTAACCCTGTGGGCGATGGATGCCATGGAGGAGTGCTCAAATGTGGGTGCGGGTGAAGGGTATATATGTATTCATATGGCGCATATATCGGAAAGTTAAACTAAAACTAAATCTATTCCTAGATTTAGTTTAGTTTAACTTTTTCTTTTCTCCATTTATATTCGAACTCGAATTCGACAGCTACTCATCTAATCGAGCACAAATAATATTATATGTTGTATTTTCATTTTCATTAAATATTACAATTTTTAATCTTTCCAATGAATACAGAAAAATAAACGAAGAAATGAACATCGTACACAAAATATCTCTCCAGAACAATTCATATTTATCATATATCATATTAAACAAAAGACAAACAAATAACAGTAACATTCTTCTAATCATAAATTCATCAGATTATGAACAATTTAGACTATCGAAAAATGCATTATTATTGTTTTTGTTGACGGCATCGGTCAAACAGAATTAACGAACATATATATGCATATATATGTAGATAGATGGATAGCTATCGACTTCTCTATAGTGAAATAAATAAATAAACGAAAAAAAAAATATGAAATATTCATGTGTCGAATTGAATAATTTGCCGGATGAAATTCTTCTAATTATATTCAAAAAACTGGACAATCTTGAAGTACTTTATTCTTTTCAAGGAGTCAATGAACGATTTAATAAAATTATACATGATCCAATATTTACAAGTCGTTTAAGCTTTCCCCAATTGTCATTCAATAAATATATCAAGAAATTTTCTTCTGATATGATACTTAATCGATTTTGTTCACAAATTTTACCTACAATTCGTACGAAAATCAAATGGCTGGATCTTGAATCTGAATCTATGAGAAATATTTTAGATGCTGCTGATTATCCTAATTTATATGCACTCGGCCTATATAATATCGAAGAAGAGACAGCTAAATGTCTTTTTACCGGTAAGGAAATCTTAATAGTATTTTATTAATTCTAGCCAAACTAAACCACACCAATTGATATAAAGGAAAATAATATTTAAAAAATAATGATCATTACTCTATAACAAAATTCATTATGGACTCAGTTTCAAGGAGAGATTATCTCTAATGGGAAAATTCCTTCCTATTAAATATTCTCTTAGTCGTTTGGCTATTTGTCTTAATCTTTGATTATATGAAAAGTTGATTACATTGTTTAATATTATTTACGTGTTTAGATGAAAGACTTTCAGCTTCTATTTTCAAAAAACAAATTGCAACACTTGTTATTTCAATTGATCCAGATAAAAACGAACGGTCGACAATGAATAACATATGCAATCATGTCTTTACTGTGTTTATCAATTTAACTCATTTAACATTTTACGATGCCGCACATCAAAATAATGCTCGATTATCATTTGATGTTCCATTTCCTACTTTTTCGTCTTCATCTCTTCTCGTATTGAAAATCAAGGTTCAAACTTTTGATGTGTGTCTTTATATTCTCGATGGTCGTTTCGAACATCTTCATACACTCGATATTGAATTGGCTAATCTTTTCCCTCCATTAAAAGAAATTGAAAATCAAGTTCGTTTTACAAGAGAATAAATTTGATTTCATTTTCGCTTTTGTTTCTCTAGAGAAAACTTCCAAATCTGAAGGATTTTGTTTTGTGTTGTATGTCACAAACATCCAATTATGATAAATTAATTCTTCCACTTATTTATCGAATGGCAAATTTAGAAGAACTTGGCTTGTCTTTCACTACCACTGTCAAGGAAACATTCATTGATGGAAACAATTTGAAGCAACATATTCTTAATCATATGTCACAATTAAAACAATTTACATTTGATATTCGTTCGGTTATGTGTATTAATAATGAAATGAACTTACCATCGAAAGAAGACATTCAACAAACATTCACCGATTTGCAATATACGAAAATAATATCGTGTGTTGATTATTTTCTAGACCATCAACAGGGTCTGTGTCATATTTATTCATATCCATTTTTGATGCGACGTTTCGAATATATAACAAATAATTTTGCAGGTGGATTATATCCATATGTTCGCGTTGTATCATTATATGATGAACATCCTTTTGAACATGAATTTTTTATTCGAATATCTCAATCATTTCCATGCATGGAAAAATTAACTATCAATAATCGTTATGGACAAAATCAGAAAGAATCTTACAAATTAATGAATGATAAGTCGAATTTATCAATTGCTAAATATTATAATCTTATCGATCTTCATATAGATCGAGCTCATGATGATTATATTGACGAATTTCTATGTAATACGAAAACATATTTCCGAAATAATATTCTTCTTGATACCCATTATGAAGCATTACGAAGAGCAACACATGATTTTGCAAGAGATGATACACGAATTAATTTTACCAAAGTAAACGAACTATGTTTATTCCTAAAAATCGAATATCCAAAATCTTGTAAAGATTATTTTCCTTTTGCAATAATAGAGTGATTATTATTATGTTACAAGTAAAATGGAAAAGCATTTTTTTGTTTTGTGTATTGTTGTGAGGAAACAATGTATACAAAGAAATTAATATGATCATATGTAAAATATATAATCTGTGAAATAAATTTATTTTTATAAAAGAAGACATTTAAGGGTTGATAGAGAAAATAAACCTCTTCTAGAGCTATATTATCTAATTTTCAAAGAGACTATTGTTGTCCTAACTTTAGTAAATTTAGAAGAATCAATTTAATTTTTCTCTTTTTCATTAAAAACCTTGCAAATCATAAGTTAGATCTTACTGCTAGTACAAAGCAAAAAGAGATCATCAGTAAAAATTTTACGGTATACAATATCAGTTAGTAGCCACTATATGTAAAATGTTGAATGCGACAGTGGTTACTATGCGAGAACAAGGCTCATCTTATGTACTAATTACTAAAAATAGTATTGAAAAGAAAAGTGTTTTTTTAATTTTACTAGATTGTTCCCTTTTCAATTAATGTAAAAAATTTTTCAAATTTATGAAATCAAAACAAAAATTACTCGTATATTATTTAATGAAATGATTATATATCATTTCAACTTTGTCGACGTTTCTCAATGCACATGATAATTAAAAATCATCTTTAAATAAAATAAGCATTTCTCTCTATATGCCCGATCAAAAAAAAAACGAAAAAAAACTATTTTATTAATTTTATTTAAGTTTTTCTTTTAATTTAATGCAGAATTTTATTATAGTTGATTAGAAATCACTCATTAACCATTTTTCTGTATATGATCGACCAGAAAAATTTATTTTATTTTATTTTATTTAACGTTTTCTTTTAACTTCGTGTAAAATTTTCATCGTAGTTGATTACACATGAATTACGAAGCATTTTTCTCTATATACCCAATCAAAAAAGAAAAAGACGAAAAACGAGAAAAGAAATTTTTTTATTTAATTTTTTTTAAATTTCACGCGGATGATTCACGATGATTATGAAATCAGCATAAAAATTGTGGATATGTTATTAAAAGCAAATGTTTTTGTAGCAATTAAAATTTTTTCGGCGACTCGGAATGAGTATTAAAAAATCATTTATAAATATAAATCAAATAAACAATTCTCTCAAATTTTGCGCCTAACTAAAAAACGAATTTTGCCTGTGGCACATGTGCAGACCTATAAAAAATTGCATTTTTTCTTTGACTCAGAACACCAGAATTGATGTGTGAGAAATCCTATAGTTTGCTTGATTGCTCGAACAGTGGATATAGAGTATCAACCGACTCATTTTCTTCTGATTAAAGAAAAACATTCAATCGAATAAGATTTATATATTTGCTAAGTTCCCATGTCGCACAAACCGATCGAAAACCGTCGGTTAACCGCGGTCAATTTTTATAAAAATCGGTTAACCGCGGTTAACCTCCCAATTAACCGGAAAAATAACCGCCAGCTCGCGACATAACCGATGACTTGTCCGGTTAACTGGGAGGTTAACCGCNCTGAAGAAGGAGAAAGATATCTCCGAAATGTCTTAAAAATATAAATAATTAATTATTAAAAAATCAGAAAATAATTAATAATAAAAAACATTAAAACAAAAGGAAGAGAAAAAACAAAATTATAAAATTCCGATTGTTCTATAGAAAAAATCCAGATCTGTCATAGCTGAGTCTTCTTGTTTATCATTTATCTTTCTTTGATAAACTTCACAATCACATACAGTTGTTACTCTTTTTTTTATCATTCTTACATTATGATAATTACATATTTATTCTAATTACCTACGTCACAATATTAACTTGAATGAGTCATTGTTAACCAAATAAAGAAATAAAAAGCTGAAACATTTTCTTTGCTTTTCTCTGCATGTCATGAGTATTGAGAAATACAGCGTCGGAAAAAATGGACTATAAATAATTTGTTTATCATGATCACGTTTAAAAGTGGCACATTATTCTCTTGTTTATTCTATTATTTTCATAGACATAGTACATAATACAAGGCATGGCACATGCAGAGCGTGGTGAAACTTTCGATGATGTTTGGAAACAAATATCAAACGGTCTTGAACAAGTATTTAAACTTCAAAATATATCACCTGAAGAATACATGAGACTTCATGCGTAAAAATGACTTAATTCTCTATGTTTTGATTTATTTGATTAATTCAACGTTTTTCATAGTGTTATTTATAACTATTGCATCAATGGTGATCCGAAGGAAATTCCGCGACAAATATCAAGAAAGGCAACAGCAGAGCCATATAGTCATCATCAACGAATTAATATAAATGAAAGCAATACTACTATTGGTGGTGACTTGTACTTTCGTATAAAAGATTATTTAGAAGTTCACTTGGAAGGAATTTTTCAAGTAAGATTATTTGTCTCATAGAATTTTGAATTATGAATAGTGTGATGTAATAAATATAGTTGAATAAAATCCGCTGAATGCAAAATGATCACAGTTTAGTGTCCATGGTTTAGGCAAAAGATAATAGCATTTTATATTAATAGTATTCATGCGATACAGATATAGATCGTTGGTATAGCCAATGAATATAGTTCAACTATTCTCGTCTTTCAGTATCATACTTTTGTGAAAGACAACAAACGCATTACTACGAAACAATGTGTTCTAAGAATCTGTAATATTAATAAATCAATCTTGATAAAAACTTAGGTGTTAGTAAAACTCGAATATAAGATGTAGATTGCATGCTTAATTAAACATTATTATATAAACAGTGTTATCTCATCCAAATGTAAGTGGGGAAAATCCTGCCAATTTCATCGAATGAAGTATGCTGAAATCATACTTTTCTTTTCTCTTGCCTCAGTTCTTTACCTGCTCTCTTTTTTAATGGCAGTGTGCGAACAAGAGGACGTAAATGAAATAGAAACGATCTTACGCTATTCGAATTTACAAGTAGTGATAAAAATAATTCATTGATATACACAAAAGGAGAAAAGTTTTGTATAATTTTTCGAAAGTACTTGTAGTTTTCAGGATCTTGATATTGTACATGTATTAGTATTATTTGTGTATTCAAACAAATATAATCATATATGCGGGACGAACAAATAAGCAGTATCGTTCTATTGCTGTTATTCGCCAGATTTCAATAGTTTTCGGCTTATATCTTCATATATCAACAATTCTTTTATCTTGATTTGATATACTTCTAAAAAATGTGTTTCATAGTTATCTTCAAGAACCGAAATATTGTTTCTGATTCCATCGTCTTATGATACTAGATGTTTTTGAGCCTCTCCGCGATTCGACCAAATTAGTGCGAATAAATCTATAATTCTCATAGTCTGTAGTCTAATTATTTGTCATTTGACATATTCTTATCACTTATATTCAAAAATGTTTGTTTCTAGCAAGGAGTCGATTTACAAGGAGAGTCTCTACTTCGTTTTTATGTTGATAACTGGAAACAATATCGATTTTCCAGTAAAACAACAAATGGCTTTTGTCATAATCTAAATCGGCATTGGGTACGTCCTGAATATAACTCAGGAAGGAAAGATGTATATGAAGTCTATGCTGTAAGTCAATTGCATTGTTTACTGCTGTAAATTGATTGTTCAATGAATCGAAATGTAGATGGCACTTGACATATGGCAGTCAGTCTTTTCCCAACGATTGCATCAACAAGTAACATCGGCATGTCTTCAATTAATTAAATCTCAACGTCAAAATGACAGCATAGATATAGATACACGGTTAATTCGTGGAGCTATAGAAAGTTATGGTAAAGATCGTAGCAAAATCTTTTTCTATTCTTGATAATCATTTTCAAAACTTTTAGTCGAACTTGGCTTAATCAACAGTGAATTTGTTCCAGATAATAATAAACGAATAGCGCCACGAAGTTTGGCTATTTATAAAGAATATTTTGAAGTGCCATTTCTTGAAGAAACGGAAACATATTATCGTCTTAAAGCAGCTGATATTGTTCGTTATTCTGGAACTGAATATTTAAACAAGGTTTATTTGTTCTCTTTATACAAAGAATTGCACATAGAAAAGTGTTCATTATAGATAGCTCAATTGTTTGATGAAGAAGTGCATCGAGCACAATCATATCTACATTCATCAACAGTAGAAGTATTAGAGAGCAAAATCGAAAAAATATTTTTGATGGATGCAGTTCGTACTTTAGCGAAATCACTTGTAAGCGACGAAAATATTACAGGTAAATAGAGAGAGAACGTTGATTTTTAAAACAACTTCACGTGACAAAATAAGTTCTATTTAAAATGGAACCGATATTCCACGTACGATCTGAAAAATGTATTTGATTGTTTTTAAATAGAGTTGGCAGTACTCTCTAGATTACTTAGTCGAGCACCAAATGCAAAAGCTGTATTAAGAAAGATTCTTGAAGAACACATTCATAAAAAAGGTATAGATGCTATTGCACGAGTCAGTAGCACTGCAATTAATGTAAAGTTAAATTTTTCATTCAGGTTTATTCTTATACTTACTGATTTCTTTTGTTCAGGATCCGTTGCTTTATGTTGAAACCATTGCTGAAGTTTATACCAAATTATACAAATTTGTACAAGAAGCTTTTAATAGTGGGCAAGGGTTTACGCTAGCTTTTGATAACGTAAATCGAATTTTTCTTCTTCAACACCTTTCATTTTCATTGTCATCGTGGGTAAGGTGTTTAGACTTTTCGTGAATTTGTTAATAATAATGCAGTAACAAGAGCTGCTGGCAATACTTCTAAGTCGTCTGAATTATTAGCTCAATATTGTAATACACTTTTACAAAAAGGGTTTGTTGAATTTTTGTAATTACTAATGCAACAAAATCAATATAAATTTGTAGAAAGAAAAAAATAACCGATGAAGACTTCGAAGAGCAATCTGATCGAATTATGGTCATATTTTCTATGATATTATTTTTAATTCTGATTTTTTAACCATGTTTTTATCTCAGGTTGTTTTTGCTTATGTGGCAGATAAAGATGTTTTTGCAAAACTTTATCGGAACATGTTAGCAAAGCGCTTATTATTTCAACTAAGTGCATCCGATGATTCTGAAGAATTAATGATTAGGAAATTAACAGTAAGTAATAGTATATTCTCCATTAAGAACACGCTGCATATTTAATATTGATTTCAGGAAGCAAATGGTTCAATGTATACGGGTGAATTACGAACCATGTTTCAAGATTGTGTTCTCAGTAAAACCTTAAGTGAGGGTTATCGAACAAATTGTGAAAGCAATAAATTTCATGATAATGGTATGAGCAATAGAAATACATCTAGAAGAACTTTGCTTTGTCTTTTAGTTGATTTTTCAGTAATGGTTCTCAATTCAAATGCATGGCCAGTTTCTGCGCCACCAAACATTATTCTACCAGATGAAGTAATATTTGTTTTCGTTGACTAATTTTTATTTTCGAAACTTGTTTTTAGCTAAAAATAAAATATGATATGTTCACTAAGTTTTACATTGAACAACATAAGAATCATAAATTGACATGGCTACATCAATATTCACATGGAGATTTGCAAATATTGTATACTAAACCAAAATACATTTTACATGTAAATATTTCTCTACTGAGCCCAAATAATTTGTCTTTTTCTCTATTTTTGAAATATCAAAGGTATCAACATATCAAATGGCAGTTTTACTTTTATTTAATAAACTTGACTGTTGGACAGTTGAACGAATACAAGAAAAAACACTAATTGAAACTAATTTATTATTGCAAGTTCTTGATAGTTTACTTAAAAAAAAATTGATCAAATGCCCAGAAATCATTACGGATGGACCTGAAGATAACTTCAAAGAAACTGATATTAAAACGGATTATCATATTCAAATCGATAAAGATTTTAAAAGGTCAGTATGCTTCGAAAATCATTTGATTTCGAAGGTGAGTGTGATTTTACGTGCTTATCTTCTATTCAAAACCATGTATACTCATTCAAAACTTAAACAATTAGAAATGTGTGCTTTCTAAAAAAAACGTCTTTTCGTTAAAATTAAAAAATTTGGAGATTTATTTAGTTGACGATTGATCGCTAAATACAGTAATGTCTCCAATTTCATGCAATCATGCTATCCTGCATTTAATGAATATTTTACGTAGAACGTCAACCGACGTCAGAAAGCACAATATTGAAAATTCTTAATTTTGCTTTTGTTTTTTAGTGAAAAGCTGCGAGTAAATTTGAATCTGCCATTAAAAGCGTTGAAACAAAGTCAACTCGAAAGTTTAACTCACAATCTAGATAGAGATCGAGAAATGGCTATTCAGGCTGCAATTATTCGTATAATGAAAACTCGAACAAAGTTGAATCACGCATCTCTAATGCAAGAAGTTATTCAACAACTAAGTTCACTTTTTCAACCGGAAATACCTTTGATTAAAGTAAATGCGATTGTGATTTTATTTCAAATTTAATCGAGAAATCTTTGTATTTTTAGAAATGTATTCGTACATTAATTGAAAAAGAATATCTTGAACTTAAAGCAGACGACAAAGATGTGCTGTGTTATTTGGCTTAAGAGCAATAATCCAGTGATTAGTCTAAATAAAAACAACAGCTATTTTTAACCTAGATGTATTGTTTTCAATGAAATCATCGAAATTTATTTTTAATGAATAAAATTCAAAAAAATGAAAAATAGAATTTGGTTGTGGTATGAAGTCAAATAAGGCTTTTCAACGCCGTCTCTAAGTCGTCGATGAATTCAAGATCTTCATTCCAATTTTTCCATTTTTATGCTTATATCAATTCGTCCGCCTTGTGCTTTCTTGTTTGAACCGTAAAATTTCTTTCTTTGTTTACTTTTGTGAATATCATTTGCCGTAAGATCGGACGCAGATGAAAGATTTATCTTTATGTATCACTGTTTTTCGATTAGGAAAATAATGCATTTTCCATGATGCTTCTAAATGAGGACCTATCGAATACCTAACAAGTAGAATTCAGAATTTTAAAAAAATCACAAGAATTCTATTCTATAAGTATTGACTTCTTCAAAAAACCACAGAATTGTGTAGCCAGGGTGTGGCTGTGCCTATTAATGAGAAGATCAATATCTACAGTCAACTGAAGATCTTAACCAACACTCACACTTTCGTTTTTAGAAAAAATAATTCTGTCTTTCTAAAAACGTGAAAGCTAGCCTTCTCACATATGAGAAGGTGTCTTTCATTGATTTCCAAACATATAAATATGGACGTAAAAAAAGAGAAAAGACATTGCAAGAGTGTGATTTTATTTTAGTGTTAGCAAGGCTTTGAATTTCTTTTAACAAAAACTTGCTACTACATCAAGTAGATTGTATAATCGATTAGTATTTACAAAAGATGATCGTGATCAAATAGCTACATTAGGAAAATTTGTTGTCAAAAGATGATGACAAGGCTGTGATTAATTTGGGAAATCAATTATCCGTTGGATACATAGTTGAATTAGAGAAATTTGTTGAAGCTGCTCGAGAAAATTTGATCGAAGTTCACTCAGTTTTATTTCAAGAAGCTCTGAGTGGTCGACACGAAAATGAGTTACAAAAAATGAAGATTTTGGAATTGGAATTACTGTGAAGCTCATGAAAAAGGAACAAACAAAGGTACAATAGGTTCACTTGAATATGAAATTCAAGTTTGCACAGATGCAGTCAAGGATGCAAATTCGGCCAAAATAGCATTACAAACTGAACGCAACACTCTGACTAATCTAACACCGGAATATCAACGGCAAGTAGCATTGATAATGGAGAAAGAATTGCGAAAGAAAATCTTCAAGCATTCAACGAAAGAATACGACTTTTAGATGCACAAGTAGCTGGTTGGTCTGATAGTAATTTCACGAATAGAAAAATAGCAGATACAATCATACCAGCAAACTTGCAGACGTGCAACGCATGTGTCCACTATAGCTGCACATGAACAATCCGATGATCAAAGATTATATTTTGGTATAATCTTCATCGAAAAACTAAAGCAGTTAACTAGTACTAAACCTTCACACCCACACTATAGTTTTACATTGAAATCAAGTGATCATTTTCAACAAATGGTACTTTATTAGACCATGAATTCAATTACATTAAAAAATTTCATTAATAAAATAATCGATTTCTAAAGTGCAATGTTCTTGTACATCATGTTCGCGTATCAAACAAGACGAAGAACTAAAAAAAATGACATAAAATTATTGGGAGATTGCGTTAGATAGCGAAGAAAAACAAAAAACAGTTAACGATTGAGAACAAAAATAGTGCTCATATAGGCAAGGAAAGACGTCTGGGTAAAACTAAATCAATATTTAATGATCAATCTTTCCAACGTTTCGGTTCGCTTTACAAATCATCACTTTTATTATTTGAAGCCGAACCCGTACTACCAGCCGGTTTTCTATCTTTTGAGTCTTCAGCTCCATCATCATCATCTTCAAAATCTTCATCATAATTTCTACAATAGTTAAAGAATTAGACAAGAAATATTTCGTTCTTTTTTCAGTTTACCCATCGTCAGGATCGTCATTGCCTCCGTCTTCATGTGTTAAATTATCATATTCCGTTTCAGCATATTTAACCCAATCAGATACTTCAGGCGTATCGGGATCCTAGAAAACAAATCAATTCACTGCATAGAATAAAACGAACATCAGTCGTCTTACTTTCAAATTTGAAAATGGATCTTTTTGCTCATTAACTAAATATTTTTCGAGATTGAAAAATGTATCAAAAAAAATATTCGTTAATTTGCATCGTTTTAAATCTTTTAAACGTATTTTATTTTCGTCTTCAGGCTTAACCAAATCAAGCATCTACGCAAATCCAACAAATCATTTAAAGAAATCATTCTCATTCATGCCTACTTGACATATACAATCTTCAAATGGCATATATTCAATACCGTAGATTTCCATTTTATGTACTTGTTCTTGATAGAAATACTCTAATTCATACATAGACAAAATACCGTCTCCATCTATATCCATACAACGAAACCAATATTCAATACTAAAATAATGCGTTCATATTTTTAATTTCCGAAGAATTTTTCAATATGAATAAAATTTTACCTGGTTGGTGAACATTTATCTTCTTCAGAAATAAGAAACCATACAAATTCATAATAGGACATTTTCCCCTCTTTCATATTTGGACTGCTGCAAAAATAAAACAAAGAAAATAAAAAATGATTAGAGAAGAGAGAAAAGAAATTAATTTACTTCGATACAGCACCCGAAAAAATTCGATCAATCATTTTATTTGAAATTGCTAGAAAGTATTTTGTTTTTGAATTTCCTAATTCAAATAAAAATCAGTATATTTACCTCCACCATTATGCTTGGCTAAATCATCCCTGTTAATCAATAGATCATGATCGGTATCAATATCCCAAAATTTACAATAAATAACATAGAAATGTTCGTACGAAAAATAATCATGTATACGGTTAATATCCTCTTCTTCTTGAAGTCGATCGAGAGTCTAAAGAAAAGAAGAGAAAATCTATTTTATTCTAAATCCTGTAAAAAGCTTTCATTCGTTGTAAAGACTGCAGCTGTTTAAAAAGACGAATGCGTCGTGTAAAAAGTTCACAGTTTTTTATTTAAGATTTTCTCGAGTGACACACACAGAGGATTCTCTATTTATACTTTGCTTTTTCAATGAAATAAATGCTATGTTGAAGAAATTCTACCTGTAAAAAATTCGATCGCCTCAATTCTTGTACGGTTAATCTCGTTGACCATGAACGATTACAATTGTAGAAGACTCGTGCAACAACTGTCTTAATATATCTTGAATGAAATTCACGCGCATCACGGAGAAATTTTAAGCCAGGATGTGTATCTATGATATCTTGCACGAAATAATCCCAATCGTCGACAGTTAAATGTTGACGATTCATTGATAATGTTGATGTAGATGAATGAATCAGTATATAAATAAATTTTAATGCATTATCATGATTATTTTTGCATACTCTAAATAGATATTGAGAAAATGTTTTGTAATATTAAAATACTGAAAAATAAATTGAGATTTTTCCATATTTACTTTTTCCAAAACGATTCAAACTGCGCATAGGACACAGTTGTATTTGGTGTTATTGTTGCTTTTGATCCTAGAGCATCTAGGGCACAAGCACGAAACAATGGTGCTTTCCAATATAAACTTAAGTCGATTAACTGCAAAATATATACATAGATTTAATGTATCATCATTGAAAACTTATTTTTTATACCTGAGCAAGTTTACCGAAATCTTCCGAACGTAATTTATCATTTTTTGTTGTAAATAATTCATCTTTAGCTTTTCGTAATTGTGTACTGATCAATGCATCTCGTGTTGATACTGCTGCTAGTTGTTCATCAGGAAAATAAAACTTAGGTATTATGTCAACTGAATTTTGCCCTTCTTCAACTTTTACAGCTGTTTGAGTAGTGGTTTTCGGCGGTGCTAATGTTGGTTGTGCTATTTGTTCAGTTGGTGTTTTTGCCGGAATAATTTTTGCAGACGATCGATTATTATCGAATGTTTCTCGTAAAGCACTAACGCTGGCATTCGTCGGTTTCAAGGGTTGATCCAAAGAAACATTTGATGCTGGTTGTGGGATTAATGTTTGTTGAGATTGCTTTGATGGGATGTCCTTTGATGGGGTAATTATATTATTAGTTGAAGATCGATTCTGGATGTCATTTGTTGGCGATGAAGGAGAAGATGGCACTGCTTCATATTTCGTCAGTTTGGAATTCGACTGTTTTTCTATGGATGTCTAATTAGAAAAGAAAATAGCAGAACTACGTTTAGAACAGGAAAAACTTTAATAATATTCAATTTCGAAGAATTCGAGGATGCCGGCGTGATTTTTCTCGTAATCCACATCCACAAATGACGAATAAAAACCATTGTCAGACAAACGCTTACGAAAAACTCACTTGTTGCTGATCAATACTCGAAGTAGGACTACCATTTAAAACGGTAGATATTTTCTTCGGCGCACGTTGTCTCTTTTCTTCATTTAGACCACTTGGACCAGGAATGCTTTCACTGAGTGGAAAATGAGTGGATGAACTAATACGTGGACTAGATGGTGCGCGAGGTACCGGTGAAACTGGGGGTGAATCGAAATGTTGCGATTTTGAAAATCCACCACCTCGTGCTGCATAAGACTAGAAAATAAAAATTTATTTATCAACAGAACGATTCGAAATATTTAGTTATGCACACTTTCGAATAAACGATTAAATCTGGCATTTTACTATTGGTTCGGACACTGTTCAATGCAGCGGATAGAGAAGTGCGTGTATCTGGTAATGAAAGCCATTGTAAGAATAAATCATTAACCATTTTGGCAATGGGTATGGGACTATTTTCTGTTGTCACTGTACTGCTCATTTTGTTGTTGTTTATGAATAAGTAAATAATTATAAATATATGGACGGCATTTTATCTAGAATATGAAACTAAATCTCGATATTTAATATTATCTTTCTAAACGAAATACAAAAACAGAAACTATAAAACAAAATAAAGACTTTTAAAATTCATCGCCGTAAAATGAATGCCGTCGAAATTTCCATTTATCGCAATTATTATCCGTTTTTTCAATAACAGTCATCTAAATATACGGAAAATAAACAAAATTTTATCGATAGAAATTTTCAATATTCACTGTTAAAAAGTCAACATTTCGAATAACATTTGCTAATGCAGATGGGCGAAATCTCCCGCCACATAATTTACGTGTACATGTTTCCAATGTAGGAGCATGAGCTAGAAAAAAAAAGCATACGCACACATTATTCAATTGTTTTAAACAACAAGCAAATGATTATACCAATAAATAAAATATGTACGTGATCTTGAAGTGTCAATTGGCCTTGTTTCACTTGTGTAATAAATTCATTCTCATGCATTTTAAGAATAGTTGAAGTAACTGTATGACTTCGTTCATAAAATTCAAGTTCAGTTTCAAGTTGAGATATTTCAATTGTGTTCATCTGTTCACGGTAATGTTTATCAATAGGATACCTATTTTCCAGCACTTCAGTTTTCGTCATAAATTGAGGCATAGCTAATACATTGCTTTTTCTACCGTCGACATACCAGCCAGTACATTCAAATAGACCAGGCTCGATTCTAAAAATAATAAAAATTTGAATTCACTGTTTTGCTTTGTTATTTCTTTCGATAATTACCGAATTTTTAATTTATTGTCTACTTCTAAACCTTGAAGTACTTTTGCAGCGGTCTGAATACATCGTAATGCTGGTGATGAATAGCAATAATGAATAGCAATGTTTTTCTCTTTTAATCCAGCACCTAGTTATAAAAAAATAAACAATTAAGAGAATAACAAATTTTGCGTCGTCTACCTGTGTGATAAGCATCTTTCATACCATTGCATGTAAGTGGTGGATCAAGATCAAAATCATCAATTGAAGCACGTGTTGGCAATGTTTCCCTACATGTATTTTCAAAAAGATGCGTCAGTTTGATTCTGATATGAGAATTATCCTAACAGTGGAAAAATTTTTCCTATGTTATACGAGTAGACTAGCACAAAAGAAATTCTTGATTTTGAATATTTCATCCATACTATGGTTTGAGAAAAGCGAACAAAATTACGCGCTATCGGTCTAAATAGGTTCAGACCTGAAAAAAATTTTGAAATTCTTACTTTCGAAAAGTATTCATAAGATTTTTTTATCGACGAAGGAACGAATCAATATTCTTCTTGAGCTTGGCTATGAAGTTACGCATAAAATAATGCCAAGCGATATTGATTCAACAGAAATGTGAACAATGATCGGTTTGAATTACGCCAGAAGTTATTGAACTTAAAAAATAAGTGAAGACCCTTGAGATCTGAACTGCCTATCGAAAGGGAAATAAGAAGCGCTCCCTCATTAGCGCAGCATTTTATTTGTATATTCTTGAGCTATATTAAAATTTGTAAGAGGATGCTGACTGGTACAGACAAATCCGTTGAATCATCTGATTTGTATTATTTCTTAAAGGAACAAAATGAAAAGCTACACTCAAACTTCATCAATATTTGCTGTTCGAGACAAAATAACTACGACTAAGTCTTCATAACGAGTTCGTGCGTTGATCTATAGTGAATTTTTTTCTCAAAAATCGTAATACTTGGTGCAAAGACTTACGGTAAAATAGGCGAAAAACGACAATAATTTCCATCTTTATCAAATGCTTGTCGTAACCATCGTGATGAATAATATCGATCAAGTCTTTCGCCATGTCGAAGTACGAATAAACGCATCGGACCTTGTGTAATCGGCAATCTATAGGCTCCAGTATTAGCGTTTGATGAATTAACACATGCTGACTTTGCTATTCGATGACGGGATGAATTTGATGATGATCCAAAAATTTTTCGTAGAAAATTTCTCACAACACTCTTCGGTTTACCATCATTGACATCTGCACGAGTCAATGGTGAAGCTAATGATTGATTTGAATTCAGTGCAACCATTGATAATGATGAAACAGGTATATTCGAATCAGACGAATGACTACTGCAGTTTGTACTCAATTGAAATTCACCTGATGTTTGATTATTTGTAGAAGTACTGATGGATGCCGATGAATCATCTGAATCATTACAAATTTGTTTTTCATCTTGATTTGGAATTTTATCATCATCGTCATCCGTTGGAGTATTTGCGCCTGATTTGAATGCAGCCACTTTGATCGTTGATCGTCTTAGTAATGCTATGCCAGAGTAGATGTGGGTATCCTGTAAAAGGACGAAAGTATGTATAATTTGTTTTTTCTTAGGCTTCAATTAGAACAAAAAAAAGGAGAGAAAGAAAAATAAACTTTTCAGTGACCTATATAACCACGATATTCTGATGCGATAATATGATCGCGACCGTCAAGTTTATTTTAATCTTTAGATTTCTCATTATACAAATTTAATTAGCTTATTTGGCATGATTTATTTTCTTTTCCTTGAACAAGTTTGCTTATATCTTTGCCTATATTGCTTTATCAATTAATAATTTTTCTTCCCTTCGACTACAAATAAATTATAATATTCAGCGATTCGTATCATGTAGTGTAAAATAAGTTGTCATTTTTTTTCCAAAAATTACGCTACTTGGTATTGAATAAATGCGGTTATATTCAGATGAAGCAAATCGAATGATATAACTGTAGTAGACTTCTGTTGAGTAATTAAAACATGGGATTTTATTTTCATATTTGTACTCTTTTTATATTCATAATGAAAATAGAATTGCGAGTAAAAGAAAAAGTGCTTTCTCCACTATGTTTCTCTTGTTTATTGACATAATTTTTTTTTTGACATACCCATAAATATGAGCCAAAAACACAGTGATTGAGAGCATGAAAAAATTTGTGACGACGGCATCTGTACGGTTTTTAATGTCGTCGAAAACCGAGTTTCAATATGTTGCTATATAATGACCGAGCAGTGATGCTTTGCATTTTTTTTACATATGTACAAACATCGAGACGAAGGAAAAAAGTGTATGAATACAGGTGTCACAAATAGTTGAGACGAAAGAATTTTTCTCGCTACCTATTGGTTTCAGGTAACCAACAAGACCGATTTCACGATTGATGTCGCTCATGAACAATATTCAATACATGCAAAATTAAACATGAACACAGGACAGGAGACGAGCACATGTAGCAGTAGTTTTATTTTCGCATAAGAATATGAAAAGATTATGCCGCTGTTTTTGTCTATTATAATTCATCAGTTCTTATGATTAGTAGTAAGAAATGGTTGTACTGAGCGTAAATTTAGAATACCATCCCAAAGCATCAGATCTTCCGCAATCATAAGTTAATGTATTGATTGTAACACTTTTCCCGATTTTTTTAGATTGCTTCGAAATCAGATTAAAATATTTTAAGAAAAAACTGACCGTGAACATAAAAAATTGAGCAGCTGGCTTTTTGCATAGCAATGGCGAAGACTTCATTGATCAGTGTACATTTTTATTAATAACTAAAACTCGAATAATTTTCGTACATCTGAAGTATTTTAGATCGTCACGGATAGCTTATTGTATTATTATTTCGAATTGAAACTCATTTGAAATGAATGCATATTTAATAGAATACTATATGAAAGAATTTGCTCACATATATATAATATCAGAGCTAATTGTGTCTTAAATTTGGGGATTTTCTCACTACTACGAAGATGTCGCCATCAACTATAATATTCTATAATCATCTTTGGGATTGTTCGTGTATTCCATTGGCTGTATCATTCCAAGGCCGATTTATTTTGGTGATTCTGCTTTTATTCCTATTCTTATCGCTTCTGGAAACTTGCATTATTCTTTTCCTTACTTTTCAGAAGGCAAATGTCTGTCGTTAGTCGATCTGTTTCTCGTCTCATACCATCAACAATCCGAACGGTATCTTATTCCGTTATAAAATATTTTCAATAAAAACTAGCATGTTCACATTTTTAGAATTCTATTGTTGCTCTTCAACAAAAATGTTATGCATCAACACAAAAAACTGTATGTTTTTATTAGCTTTTATTGTTCCGCATGCATGTATACTCTTCACATGATGTTTACAGGATCTGAAAGAAGTGCTACGAGAGCTCGTACCAAAAGAGCAAAAACGTGTTGCTGAGTTTAAGGCTCAGAACAAAGATGTATCAATCGGCCAAGTGACTGTTGATATGGTAATTCAAAAGAAATCTTCTGTTATAGTGCATCACGCATACACTTGATTTCTGTGTTAAGATATATGGCGGCATGCGTGGCATCAAAGGTCTTGTTTATGAAACATCAGTATTAGATCCTAATGAAGGTATTCGTTTCCGTGGAAAAACCATAGCAGAATGTCAAGCCGAATTACCGAAAGCGAAAGGTGGAGAAGAGCCATTACCTGAAGGTCTCTTTTGGCTCTTAGTTACATCACAAGTGCCAACACAAGAACAAGTAATTAGTTATTTTTAGAAAAAAAATAAAACGAAGAGCAAATTTGATATTGTCTAGGTCGGATGGGTAACAAGCGAATGGAACAAGCGTGCTGCGATTCCTCAACATGTTGTAACGATGTTGAATAATTTTCCAGCACAACTTCATCCTATGTCACAATTGAGTGCTGCTATCACAGTTCTTAATCTTGGTTCAAAATTTGCCAAGGCTTATTCAGATAGTGTACCAAAGTCAAAATATTGGGAGGTTTGCTCGCAAATTTTTTATTTTCAAATTTTGATATCACGCATAATTCTTTTTGAGCGGAAAGGAGAAGACATTTCAAAAAGTATCTGATGCATATGTCCTTCAAGATTTTGTAACATTCTTATGTCGTTGCTGATTGTATTTCAAGAATGTTAAGTAAAAAGAGGATGACAAAATATTTCTCAAAGTAGACAGAATAAAATAATCTTATTACGATTAACAACACAGGATTACATCATGTTACTCTCACGGGGATTGCTCTGACAACTTTTTAATGAGCACTTCATTGCTTTCCTTTCTTGAGATGCATTGTTGATTCGTAATTCAATCATGCAAGAATAGAATATTATGTAATTATGAAGAAAAAAGAAAAAAAAACACTATCTCAGAAAGTTTAGAGAAATTAATAAATTTCTGTCCGTAGTATATATACGAAGATTCAATGGATGTAATTGCTAAATTGCCAACTATTGCTGCTATTATCTATCGAAATTTATATCGTAATGGTACAGCTGTTGGTGCGATTGATTCAAAAAAAGATTGGTCATGGAACTTTGCCACAATGCTAGGCTATGACAATAAACAATTCGTTGATTTACTTCGTCTTTATTTAACCATTCATAGGTAAAAAGAAAAATTTGAAAAGGATTACTTAAATTTTCATTCCTATTTTTTGGATTTAGTGATCATGAAGGTGGTAATGTTAGTGCACATACAAGTCATTTGGTGGGCAGTGCGCTTTCGGATCCATATCTATCACTTGCTGCTGCTATGAATGGTCTTGCGGGACCACTTCATGGTCTTGCCAATCAAGAAGTCTTGATTTGGATAACGAAATTAGTCGAAAAAATCGGTGATTCACCAACAGATGATCAAATAAAACAATACGTTCAAGATACACTTAAAACAAGTGTTGTGCCTGGTTATGGACATGCTGTTTTACGTAAAACTGATCCACGTTATACATGTCAACGTGAATTCGCTCTTAAACATTTACCAAATGATAGATTATTTAAAATTGTCTCACAACTTTATACTGTTGTACCGAAAATGCTTGGCGAACTTGGTAAGGTTAAGAATCCATGGCCTAATGTTGATGCACACTCAGGTGTTCTCCTTCAGGTTAATAAAATACTTTTTTTTAAACTCTATGTTTTTTTTCATAATCTATTTTTTTAGCATTACGGCATGAAAGAAATGAATTTCTATACTGTTTTATTCGGTGTTTCACGAGCACTTGGTGTACTTTCACAAATGATCTGGTCTCGAGCATTAGGATTTCCATTAGAACGACCGAAATCGTTGTCAACCGATGGTCTTGTTGCTTTTGTAGCCGCACAAAAGAAGGCTGGCACTGGCGCCGGAACAAAAGCTTAAATTTCTACTTAATTAAGTAGATTAAATGGTAAATGATAGATCCCAAATATGTATGGTATTAAGTAGATGATCAATGGATATTTATTAATGCATTTTTTTGTATTACTCTCTGTTTCTTTCTTTTCTTTCTCCTTCATCTTTTTATAATAACATGTTGTACTGACAAAAATTTAGTGTTTGTTGTTGTATTGGTGTTCTCATTGAAGATGAAATAAAGAAGCAGAGAAATAACTGAGAACAACACTCCTGAAAAAAAACTTCGAAAAATATTTTCTTCATACGAATTGTTTTCTATTGGCGTAAGTATTGACTTACCATATATATGTTTTAAATGCTTCTGTGCAAATATATATATATATATATATATATAGCCATGGGCTCAGTTTTTTTTGTTCTGCCGATAGTAAATAGATAGTGAACAAATATGCCCACGAGAGAATACTGATTTTCATCAAGTATTACAGAATTAGCTATGCAGGAAACGGAGAATTTTTTTTCTTCTTCATATCTATTCATTTGAGTTTCTACACAAAATTCAATCTGCGGGCATGTGTAAATGAAATAAAAGGTAACAACGGCTCATTAGACACTCTCAAATTATCTACATCGTTATACTACACATTTGCTCTTTTTTTTTACAATTGAAAGAATCTGTTTTGGAGGCCTTAACCCAATTAGTAATTGATTTCTATATACATCAATTGTCGTCGTAACAATCTAATGGTTATATAAAAGCTAATAGAAGATGGACGAGAAATCAATATTGCTGAATGATGCTATATATTTAGAATAAGAGCAAAATAAGCCGAGATACGAGCTTGAGAAAAAAAGAAAATCAAAAATAGAAAGAACAGAACCATTACGGATGACTGATGGTAAGCAACAAAAGAAATTAGCTTAAGCAAATGGAATCAATGGTAGATGTATAATGAGGAAATCCTTATGATCTCAACTGGAACAGAAATGGATCATAGCCATGTCATGTCGCTGTGCGTGACAGGATTTTTACTTTCATGGAGATTAAAGCGAGAACAAGTTCCGCAATTGAAATTTTTTTGTTCTAATAAGAGAAGTCTTGTTGTGAATATCAATAAGTAACATGTCTACTGCAGCTATTTATGTGCTTCCAGACATAAAGAATTTACCATTACTTTAAAGCACTGTGTTGGATATTACCATGGAGATAAATACATTTCAGTAGGTTGTTTGATATAAAAGTAAATTCACTACCAGCTTATTTGGTAATTATTATGTTATTTACAATAAAATGGGCTTATAGGAAGCGAAAGTGATTTTATTATCATGGAATCAATAGAAAAAAAGTGCTGAATAAGCCGGCCTGAATAGAGAATTTACCGTTGAATAGTGTTTTATTACTATTTATTATTTCACTATGATTTTCTTTTGCGTGAGTAAGCATCACTATAGATAGACATCCTTGGTATTTTTTTACTACACTTTGTTTGCAGCCAATATTCTAACAAGAATCTGCATGAATGTTCAATTCGCTTCAAGCGTATGATTTCTAGTTAAGTACACTCACAATGGAGGTGTTTGCATTGTAAGTTGAAAATACTAGATATTTTTTATATCAAAAGAAAGCTCTCACCGTCAAACTAGCACGGTTAAAATATTAGCTTCCCTTGGCTTGTCTAGAGGGAGATATTCGATTCTTCAGTGAATTTTCTCTACCGGACCGGCTTTCCCAGCAATATCATATTTTCTAATTTGAATCTGAAACTTTGTATGCATGAAGGTCTCAATGAGACTAGCTTACAGAAAAAAAATCAGAAGTTTTGGGCAAACTCTCTTCGAGATATGAATCTCTCAAAATATTGACGATTTTCTATTGAAGCTGTCTGCTTGAGACATCTATATCTCGAAGAGAATTTGGGGAAAGCCGATCCTGTAGAGAAAATTCACTGAAAAATCGAATATCTTCCTCTAGACAAGCCAAGGGGAGCTAATATTTTAGTTTGGCGATGAGAACTTTCTTTTGATGTAAAAATATCTAGTCTTTTCAACTTACAATACAAACACCTCGATTGTCAGAAACACATAAAATCAATGCGCCAATGTTACTCTTGCATTCACGATTATCTAAATCCGTACCGTTAATCGCAAGACAGTTCATACACAACTTACATCATCATGATCATTCTCATTTAACCTGCAGTAAGAAAAGCACAGGAACTTGTTCAGCCAGTAAAATAAAGATAATTCGTTAATAACTCGAATCGGTATCCTTTTTTGCATTACTGTTTCATGTAAAACGGTAAGACTGAAAAAAGAAAGTCATCGATTTTCGGATTGTCTGAATAGAACGAACATGAGAAAATAAATCAGTGTTGAAAGCAGCATTGCTGTTAAAATCAGACAACATACTGATTATATCCCTCCACATGAAAGTTGATAAAGTTGTCGTAAAATAAGATTATACAGTCGACATATATACGATCCGTTGATAGTTTTTCTGTTTCTTACGTCAAAATCAAACATAATTGAATAACACTGTAAATTCAACTAGAAACACATCTTCCTGTTTTTTATTTGTATTCTTGTCAATTTTTTTGCATCCATACAATATTAGTTTCGACCTAAACATATGAAATTTCATGAAACAGTATGTTCAATTTTATTGACGTGAAACAAAAGTAGAGAGCATAAATAATCTTCTGTTCCAACTTGATCGTTCATTGTATATAAGAATCAAAAGTGAATAACAGTGAAGTCAAGGTGAACACCGCATGATTCATTGATCCTTTCGTAGTGTACTGCGTGATTAGGAATATTTTTTGGGATCGTGATCGTGACCGTGAGTGATAAATGCTTTTCCCTCGTGATCGAAATTAAAATGTGGTGATCACGATTATAAAATATGAAATTTTTATTCACAACTATATATTAATGCAAAACCAGAACCTTGTAATACATGAAATGCCCGACCATCTTGAGCCATAAATTCAACACAATATAATGTTATGGCATTTTTTACTGATGATTAAGTTTTCGTTGATCATATGAATTCGATACTTTATTTTTGCCTTCACTAGAATGTGAGTGAGCTAACATACAACGAGATTCTGTTATTGACTTGTACGCTAATACTGTTTTACAAGAATCATGAATGATAAAATTTTGTTTTATGTTCGCAATGTAAACTTGACTAAATTTAGTCCAATATTTGGATATTCTCATGTTTCTTTTGGTTTTCAGTATGATAGTGATGCATTTTTTTCTTCAACTAATCGTTCAATATCGTTTTTACTTAATCATCCAGCATCAGCAGCGCACATTCTTCAAGTTTTTACTTATTAAAAAAATAAACAGTCGACTACTGTTCTTGATCTCATTCAGTGTTGCATATACCAAAATAAATATTTTGGATACATGTCTCGATGAAATGATTAAAAAATTTTCTAATCTCTTCAATTACTCTGTAATGTTCGCCATCGTGACCGTAATTGTGATAAAAAGTCTCAATCACGCAGTGCACTAGTTATCACAATAGACACATAGTGTTTTGTCTTTCGTTATTAATCAATACTATGGAATTCAGCAAACAATTTTAGCTATATGAATTAATGAAATTATATTTCCACATGACATGCGACGCGCGCGGTGTAAATAAGTTGAATTCGAAATTATGTTTATTTTTATTCCATGGAGTTATTTATGGTCTTGCTTCAGTGTATACACACCATTGGTACGAAGGTTGGGTATTTTTCAAATAACTGAGTTAGAAGTATTTAAAAATCAAAATACAAGTAACGCGACGTAAGCGTCGCTAATCCTCTACTGAAATGGGTGACCATGTTTAATAAATAATAAACTATCGTATAAGTTTTGGCGTAAGAATTCAACAATGCTATTTTCCATCTCTCAATATGTAGTGATAAGTGTATCCAACGTATTATCTATTGTGTATAGCTGGATGTGGATTTTTGGATGACCTTTTATTTAGATTCAATTACTAAAAATCTCACTGATGTGCCGATATTGATGGCACGCTTCGATGATTCTCCTTCCTTCTCTTTCTGTTCTCTTTCCATTGTTCTTATATAGCTCTTTCTGTTCTCTTTCCATTGTTCTTATATAGCTCTTTCTGTTCTCTTTCCATTGTTCTTATATAGCTCTTTCTGTTCTCTTTCCATTGTTCTTATATAGCTCTTCCTTGTCTCTCTTCTACCCAGGACGAACATTACAGTGGCCGTAAACAGCCGTGCACGATACCGCAAACGGCCGTAACCGTCAGAGTTACGACCCGTAAATAACCCGTTTGGTATGTCCCGTATTACGACCGTAACCCACTGTGATGTAAACGGTGAAACCCAACTACCGTAAACGTTAAAAACAGTGCCGTGACACGGTCGTATTTTGAACGAAACGACAGTTTACGACAACGTGAATCGCCGTATCTTAACATATACACCCGTTTACGACCACCACGACTACAGTATATCAAAGTAAACGGCCGTTTTCCATTCGTTATTCTCGGTGATTTCACCTGCAAATCAAACAGATTTCATTCGGATTTCAAAAAGATTTCATTTATATTTAAATAAGATCTAAATGGGATTTGAAATGGATGTCATTAAGCTTTCAAAAAGATTTTATTTGGATTTGAAACGGCTTTCATTTGGATTTCAATAAGATTTCGTTGAGATTAGAGAAGGACTTCATTCAGATTTCAAAAAGATTTAATTTTGATTTCAAAACGATTTCGTTTACATTGCAAAAAGATTTTATTTGGATTTGAAAAGGATTTCGTTTAGATTTCAAAAAGATCTCAAATGGATTTCATCTAGATTTAAAAAAGATTCAAATGGAATTTGAAATGGATTTCAAAAGGATTTCAAAAGGATTTCAACGAAATTTCAACGAGATTTCACTTCGATTTGAGACGGATTTCATTCAGATTTCCAAAAGATTTAATTGAGATTTCCAGCCGATTTCCAAAAGATTCCACTTGGTTTTTAGAATCATTTCATTTATAAAAAAAACACTACTTTTCGACTTAAAGTTCGAGTAGTTTCTAGGAGACTGGCAATTGGCTGGACGATGAACAGGGATTTGAGGAAAACCGGAAGACAAACTGAATTGTGGATATGCTACTTAACTTGAATCTGGAAAGACGCGAAACGAAGATTCGACGAAAAGAAATCAAAGATAAATCTGATTTCAGATTTCGGATTTTAAATCTATCCCTGAACTCAATAACTAATAAAGAAGAAAAATCTGCCTATATATAGAAGTTCTCGAGCGAAACAAGTTGGTGAATGATTGCGCGACACGAAATCGAAGATGAATCTGATTTCAGATTTCGGATTTTAAATCTAGCCCTGAATTGAATAACAAAAAACGAAAATAAATCTTGAGGGCTTGGGTGTGGGAGTCTGAATGTGGATTAACGCAAAATAACAGTTATACCCAGATCCACTCACACCCACACCCTCAAGATTTTCAATGCGCCGAAAAGTTATCAAAATCACTAGAAATCATGAGAAATCAGTAGAAACCATGAGAAATCAGTAGAAATCATGAGAAATCAGTAGAAATAATTAGAAATGATTAAAAATCATCCGGACTTTGTGGAATCGACAGAAAGTTTAAGAAATCAAAGAAATCATGTGAAATCAGACTAATTTACTTGAAATGTTTCAGATCGTTTGAAATGATTTCGAATGATTTTTAGCCATTTCAAATAATCCCTTTTGTTTTCTGATGATTTCCATGATTTTCAATGATTTCCAATGATACCCATGATTTCTACTGGTTTCGATGATTTCGTCCGACTTCATGCGATTTCGATTGATTTCGCCTATTGAAATCAGTTTGTTTCCCCGTGTTATCGCACATTCTGAATGTCGTTTACAGTCACTGTATTTTCACAGTAGTTGTAAAAGTCGAACGTTTACGTTCACTGTTTACCATTAACGTAATACCTCGTAAAACTTCGTATATGACCGTCGTCTACAGTCGCCGTATTTTCACGGTAGTCGTAAAAGACGAACGTTTACGGTCATTGATTACGATTATCGTAATACACCGTAAAACGTCGTATATGACTGCCGTAAACGGCCACTGTAAACGAATGCCGTTTTTCAACGTAAATGATTGGTGTACGGCCGGGCAGAAACGACCTGGGTTTCTATTTTCATTTTAGTTTTAATTTTGGTTTTAATTTTCTATTTTATATTTTAGTAATACACAAAAAGTAAGTATACTTTGTATATATTTGTATATTCTTTACGTCTTACAGAGGCCTTCCATACATCGGCGTGAAACTGGCCAAGCCTATCTTGGTGCCCATAGCACGTACAGGCCGCATATAGATCTTCCTGTTGTATGCTCTATACACGCTAGATATATGCCTGTACGTGAAGAGTCTTGGCTCTCTATGGCACCACCAAGGTAATTCTTGGTCGCGCGAGCGACTATTAGCTGGGAAACAAAAAAACCTTTTTCTCATTCCAATCAAATTCGTTTCTGCTTATTTCGTTTTACTTCATCTCGATTTCTTCAACAGCAACATAAATATAATTACTTTCCTTCATTTTCTCATTCCAAACAAATAAAATTAATTGTTATTTTTATGTTTCAGTTCCATTCAACAATTCAATCCTAACGGACACGAATGTAAGTATAATTCTTTTTACATTCCTGTTGTTTATTTTTTTGTAACTTTTATTTTTTTTGATTTTTAAAATAAACATTATTCAAATAACTCAATTTTTTTCTTTTCATTTCATTCATACATATTTTCACTTCAACAATAAATATTTTTATGTTAACAATAAATAATTTCAAAATAATACAAATTTTTTTCTTTTCCTTGCAATCGTAAATATTTTACGAAAAGAACAAATTAATTTTCATTCTAGTTACAAAATTTTTTCAAAGTAACAAATTAATTTTCATTGAACTACTAAATATTTTTATTTCACTAACCAATTAATTTATTTTACTACTAAATTATTTTCATTTTACTACTAGAATATTTTATTTTACTAAAATTTATTTTCAATTTACTACTAAATATTTTCAAAAAATAGCAAATTTTTTTTTTATATCAATAATAAAATTTGTGAAAATAACACAAAATTTTATTTTCCTTTAAATAACACAATTTATTTTTTTCACTTTAATAATTAATATTTTTTGCGAAAAATAATTTTTATTTAATTCATTTCTTTTCATTTAACAAGCAAATAAAAGAAGAAGAAAAGAAACATATGACGTAATTTTATATTTTAGCTTTTTTCTTTTCTTTGAAGCGAAAGAGTAAAAGAAAATTTCTTTTTTCTTGTTCATTTATTTCAAAGTATAGAAAAAGAAACGAACAAAGAAAAAACAATTCACAAGTCTTCTTCGATAGAAAATCGTTGAACACGAAAATTACGCATATCGGCGACATAGAGATTACCATGTTGATCAAAAGACAAACCATGGGGGTAGTAGAACTGATTTGCTCCTGCTCCTTCGCCATTTCCACCCACAATTACAGTGCCTTGTTTCTTGTCTCCTTGAGTCCAACGCATTACACGATGATTCCAGAAGTCTGGTACATAGAGTGTACCCAACGTATCAACAAAGATTCCTTGAGGATAAGACAATTGTGTCAGAGCACTCCCTTTGCCTTGTCCTCCAGCGACCACAATACCTTCTTTTGCACCTTTATTCCATTTCATTACACGATGATTCTCTCTGTCTGATACGTAGACATTCTGTTGTCGATCGACAAAGAGATAACTCGGCTCGTTGAGTTGATTGAGTCCATCACCTTTTCCATTACCACCAGCTACGAGAGTGCCATTTTTCTCACCCAATTGATATCGTCTTACTTCATGTTTTTTGTAGTCAGAGACGTAGAGATATCTCTGCTCATCCATTGATAATCCCTGACCGTCGATCTTATCGATGAGCATTTCACCTTGTGTTGCACCACTACGACGAGACCATCGTACAACTCGTCGATTTCGTTGATCACAAATAATGAGACTATCCGTCTCTTTGTCAATTAATACATCAGTTGGACAATACAATTGATGTAATCCATTTCCTAGGCGTTTGCCGCCAGCAACAACTTGTCCATTTGTTGTATTCCCGTTCTTCCATTGCATGATACGATTATTATTGTAGTCAGCAATAACCACTGTTTGATCATCATCAACGAAGAGACCATTAGGGTCGAAGAGTTGATTAGTGGCATCCCCAGCATCGTTACCTCCAGCAATAGTCACACCCTTCTGTTTCCATTTAGCATTAGCAGGAATATTAACTAGAAGAGAAAGAGTAAGAATAAAATGAGATCTTTCTCGAGTATAGCTAGTATATATGAAATAATTTCGAAAGTATCGAGGTAAAATTCTTTGAATAGATTATTCTTTCTATTTCTAGAAATTCCTCAGAATAAGTTTTTTCTACGTATATACTGAAAGAGGGAGAGCGAAAATTGGTCGAACGAAAATTGATCGCCGATAATTGGTCGATACGAAAATTGGTCGAAAATTTTGTAATAGAAAAACAAAAGCTTTTTCTTAAAGGGAAACTCTAAGTCCGA